CCATTCCATTTCCCTCATCATCCTCAGAAGCTCCCACGATATTCCGCAAATTGGGATTACACATGCCTGCACGATACGACTCGAGAGCGAGTGTTCCGCTCCATCGTGGACAGATTATTACTGAATCCATCGTGGAGACTTTTTATTTCCCCTAGTGACACAGAGCCCCCGCACACACGCGATATTCCCGAGCTGGATGGAATGATTCTCCATGACTGTAACGACCACAATACCAGTGGCACATCCAGCTTCTACGCTTTGATGCACAATTCCCGGAGTAAGACCCGGTGAGCCCGAAGGCACAAAGGTACATGCTCCCAGTCCTTTGCCAAATAGAACGTACTGTACTCCCTGCTTCATGTATGACGGGGTCCATAGGGATGGTAATGAACATGGATTGTCTCGCCTCAAAGGCGAGTTCATTACACAACACTCAAATCAACGACAAGAACAAGTTTTTCTCTGTGACCCTTTTTTTTCATTCTGAGGGGAGTTGGGAAAACATGCATATCTGCTGGGGAGGATGATGGAGATACTGGATCACTGCCAACGTGATCTCTTGACTTTTTCCGAATGCGCGGAGAGAAAAGTTATTCTTTGAACGACACAATGTTGCACTTGATGTTTGAGGCTTATTTTTCATCGGAATCAAGTGGATCTTATTCACATCCAGTTATTTCTTTTTAAAGGGAGGACAACAAATTCTTTCATGAAAATATTCATCTCGGAGATGATAATAATTCCCCCATTCGGTCGGACATCACGTAAACGTTCAGGTGAACGTTTCATGTTTTTATTTTTTTTAATTCTTTTTAGGAGGAAATAAATTATGAAATTTCAGATTCCACTAAATTTTCTATGAAATTCCAAATTTTTGACGAGCAGAAAGACGGGAATTTCCCAATAATAATTTGTAATAATTGTCTTTATTCATGAAAAAAAGCATAAAGAGAAAAAAATCCACGTGAAAAAAAAAACTATTCGTTGTTCAATTTTTTATTAAACTCCTAATTTTATCGAGTTATAATAAAATTATGTTCCTATGGAGCCCCAATTATCCCTCAGATACGTTTTCATCCCCTATTTTTTCGAATGTAAGGAGAGAAAAGTTATTCTTTGAACGACCCAATGTTGCACTTGATGTTTGAGGCTTATTTTTCATCGGAATCAAGTGGATCTTATTCACATCCAGTTATTTTCTTTTAAAAGGAGGAAAAAAAAATACTTCCATAAAAATATTCATCTCGGAGATGAAAATAATTGTCTTTATTCATGAAAAAAGTAAAAAGGAAACAAATCCACGTGAAAAAACTAAACTATTCGTTTTTCAATTTTTGATTCAACTCCGAATTCTATCGAGGTCTAAAAAAAAGTATATTCCTATGGAGAGAACTCTCAATCGATACTCATATACGCTTCCATCCCCTATTTTTTCGAATGCGCGGAGAGAAATGTTATTCTTTGCACGAAACAATGTTACACTTGATTTTTGTGGCTGATTTTCCATTGAAATCAAGTGGATCTTATTCGCATCTAGTTATTTATTTTTGAAACCATGAAAAAAACTCCTTAATTAAAAGATATTCAGCTGGGAAACGAAAGTAATTGTCTTTATTCATACAAATTGCAAGTGATGCCAGTGGAAGGCCTATCGAGTTAGTCCCTCTTAAAACCAAAAAAGAACTCTTCAACTAAAAAAAAAATTGTTTCGAAACTGAAAATAATAAACTTTATTCATAGAAACTGCAAGTGATGCAAGTAGAGAGGAAAAATCTACGAGAAGAACACAAAACTATTCATTTTTTAATTTCTAATTTAACTTCTAATCCCAGTGAGTTCTGAAAAAAAATAATAATGCTCGTATGGAGATGCAATCAATACTCAGATACGCTTCCATGTCTTATTTTTTCGAATGTGTGGAGAGAAATGTTATTTTTTAATGTTATTTTTAAACGACACAATGTTGCACTTGATTTTTGTGGCTGATTTTCCATTGAAATCAAGAGGATCTTATTCACATCTAGTTATTTCCTTCTAAAACCATGAAAGAAACTTCTTAATTAAAAAATATTCACATGGGAAGAAAAATAATTGTCTTTAAAATTGTCTTTATTCATAACAATTGCAAGTGATACCAATAGATGGGCAAAAAATTCCCTTCTACATAAAGAGAAAAAAATCTTTGAAAAATACGAAACTATTCTTTTTTTTTTATTCTTGATTCCCCTTTTAATTCTATCGAGTTAGTCCCTCTTAAAACCAAAAAAAACTCTTCAACTAAAAAAGGTTTATTTCGAAACTGAAAATACTAGATTTTATTCATAGAAACTTCAAGTGATGCGATAGAGAGGAACAATCTACGAGAAGAACACAAAACTATTCGTTTTTTAATTTCTAATTTGACTTCTAATCCCATTGAGTTCTGAATAAAAAAAATAATGCTCGTATGGAGATGTAATCAATACTCAGATACGTTTCCACCCCCTAACAAGACAATTCCTCTGAAATTTCCATCGACTGCACCTCAATATCCTCTCAGCATGTCATTTAAAAGTGTGAATCCGCACAATGAGAACAGGAGAAAAAAAATATTATATGTGAATATGGCATTTGGATTCTGATCAAACTCGTGAATATTCAGTGTGAGTATTTGAGTCCTCGACATGGAATTTAATATGCCGTCTAGGGTACGGAAAATGGGTACACAGCGTGAGAGAGAGGGGGATTTTTTTTCTCATCGATCCCTTTGGTATGTCGTTGGTATGTGTCACAAACAGGGTGAATTTTTATTCACTCGTACCCTATTCAGCGATCTTGCATTCATGACAAGAGTACCCTGTTTGCATAAGTATAACGTACTGATGATGTCGAATGAAAATTCTTTAAGTTATGGAATATGAAATTTTTATCCGCTCGGGAGTTGAAGAATCTCATCTGCCAATTTAACAAATAAATCATTCATCTTTGAACCGACTGTAATGTTTTTTTTTTTTATATTCCGGCCCTTTCTGCCCTCTGATTGGCTAATCGGCTCTATCCAACCCTATGCATGCGACTGTGGATTCTACACTGCACCGCATTCGCACTCCTATAGAACATAGGAGTAGCATGGGAAACCCCAGAATACCCATGCCGGTACAGGCGGTCACTATATTAGCGACCTCCCGCTCGCCGGAGCCTCCGGTTGAAAAACTCGATTCCACGGGGAATCGAACTCACAACCTTTCGCACACTAGGTCGCACCTAGCCGCTTCGGCCACCGACGTCGATACTGTAATGATTAGGTGGGTGAGGTGTTGCTCCGGCGGACATCCAAGCTAAGCAGCGTTGAGCTGGGTTAGTGATTGGATGGGTGACCGCTTAGGAACACCTCGCTCGCACAAAAATTGCGGGCGGTAGGTACGGTGTAGCGGTCGGGTGTCTCCATCTAGTCAGTGTGACAGATGGATATATTAGGGCACTGCACAATCGGCCGGCTGTGCGACTGGGGTTTTACGTGGTTTCCCGTGCAGTCCTAGCTCGAATGGGGCACAGCTAAGAGTAAGACGGCCATGATACCGCAGATAACAATAGAAGGAAAAAGAAAGGAGGGGAGGCGGGCTAGAGGAGGGGTTTCAAATCGAGAATTACTTCAATAAAACCTATGAAATAGAAAAAATAAAAAAAAATAAAAAAATTCATTCATCTCTGAATTAATTAACAGAACAAAAGCCAAAATTGTCGTTTGATATTTCATTTTTTCTTCACGAATTGTGGAATATTTAATCTTCATCCTCAATTTGTGTTGAAAAATCTGATTAATTAATCGAATTAATTTTAATTTATGTACGAATACATAATTTATTTTTATATAACACAAAAAAATATTCACAATTATTTTTTCGATATTTGCGTTATTTTCTCACGAATTTAGAAAATAATAACTACATCTTCATAATTTTTTGTAGATAAAATTTTCAATTTTAAAGTGAAAAAGTATTCAAAATTGCTACTTTGACATTTATGATTTTTCTTCACAAATTGTAACATCTAATAAAAATCCTTCAAATTTATAAAATATGACATCTTTACCCTCTTGTTGATTTGAAGACCGTCATCTTCATATTTTTTTATAAATAAAATTTCATATTTTAAACAAAAAAAGTATTTAAAAAATTAACTTCAGAAATCATAAACATCCCAAATCTCATTCCTTAACAATTTGATCAATAAATTTCCAAAATTCCAATACAGCTGTAAACCTCCCCAATTGTCAATTCGACACATGTAATTGTGAATCCCCTCACCAAAAAATTCGCACCGAGACATTTCAATTTTTCTTCACAAATAATAAAATCTAATAAGAATCCTTCAAATTGATAAAATATGACACCTCCCCGGCCGGGCCAAAATTCCACACCAATTTTTCATCACAATTTTCCACATAATATTCAACTGAAAATTCAACACAATTTTCAAACCGAATATTCCACGGAATTTTCAACTGAAAAATCCACTCCACATTCAACATTCCCTGGCTGAAGGCCCTCGGACGATGGCCACGTTGGCAAGTTAACCCTTGCATCGAAAAACCGGTGAAATTTGAAATTTTTATGACACCTCTACCCTCTTGTTGATTTGAAGAACTTCATCTTCATAATTTTTTATAAACCAAATTTCAACTTTAAAAAAAAAAGTATTAAACGAGATTAATTTGAGAAATCGTAAAAATCCCCAATCTCATTCCCCAACAATTTGATAAATAAATTTCCAACCCCTGAAAATGACACTAAACCTCCACAATTGTCAGTTCGACGTGTGATTTTTCATCCCTTCACCACAAAAATTCGCACCCAACCATTTTTCCTCACGTACCATTTTTCTCTCCCCCGCCGAAAGTCATATAGCTGAACTCGCGTTTTCATACGAATTGCTGTACTTAAACCACGATCGTAAACCTCTTCCCTGGCATCCGGCACGGCATACACATTTTTCCTCGAACTCACGTTTTCTTTTTACAGGTACACAGAGACAGAGCATTACTCCTCCACCGGCAGGGATATGACGGTTGTTTTGCGACGAGCATCAAACAAACCACCCGATGAAGAATTCATGGATGTCGCTTACTATTTTCACGATGGTAAAGTTGTTCTTTTATATACTTCATCCCCCGCCCCCTCATATAAAAGTCATCATGACGGCAATGGTAAAATGCCGGTGTTAAACCTGATACCTATATTTAAGGCGCTCAATACCCCGCGAGAGTTATGTATTTGTTAATGCAAAGTGTCTGAGATACATTTTTTTCTCCTCATCCTTAAGGAGATAGGTATGGATTTTCGCCAAGTGCCACGTCAGTGAAAAATCGCAATGAAACAAGGGGGAAAGCTCTTTTCATCGAACCGTGAATTCAAGTCTCAGTGTAAAAGAATATGATGGAGAGAAAAAGCTGTACTATATTCTCCTCTGTATTCCTGTATTTGGTCTGAGGGATCAACTGAGTGTGAGATAAAATGGGCTGAGGCACTTTTAACGTGTCAATAACCTGCGTACGTTTAAGAATACCATCCACTTCTTCAACAACTTTTCTCTCAAAATAAATCCTCCGCGTTTGAGGATTGTGTGTTGCAGGGAAATTGACGTGGGGGAACATTTTTCACCGTCGTAATCTTCACGGTTGTACACGAAAATTTATCCAAAAGTATTTCACCCCCACGTTTCCCTATTCGAGATGTTTTTATTTTTATTTTTCGTCCCTTTCGGACACGTCTTCATCCTCTTGTTGAGGAGACGAATCTCATCTGAATTACGAAAACGAATGCGAAAGTAACTTTTTGGCATCGGTGATATTCCCAGCACTGTATTCTTTTATTTGGTCTAGAGGACCAACTGACTATGAGATAAAATGGGTTGAGGCACTTTCAACGTGTCAATAACCTGGGTTACTTCTTCAGCGACGTTTCCTTCAAAATAAATCCTTCCCCTTTTTATGATTGTGTGTTGAAGCGAAATTGACGTGAGGAAACATTTTTCGCGTTTCTTTATTCGAGATATATTTGTTATATTTTTATTCCTCTTTCTTCTCTGACACATCTTCATTCTCTCGAACTGAAAAGTCTCATCTACTAATTTTCACGCGGAATTGTTTCACATTTGTGATACACTCACCCCTGCATTTTTATATTTAGTCTAAAGGACCAACTGACTATAAAATAAAATGCGTTGAGGCACTTTTAACGTGTCAATAACCTGCGGACGTTTAACAATACCATCCACATCTTCAGCAACGTTTCCTTCAAAATAAATCCTCCCCTTTTTTTATGATTGTGTGTTGAAGCGAAATTGACACGAGGAAACATTTTTCACCGTCGTAATCTTTACGGTTGTACACTACAATTTATCCAAAAGTATCTCCCCTGAGTTCCTTTCTTCGAGATATATTTATTATATTTTTATTCCCCTTCCTTCCCCGACACATCTTCATCCCCTCGTGGTGAAAAATCTCATCTACTAATTTTCTCGAGAAATTGTCTATTCCCCATTTCTCTGTACTCACCCCCGCATTCTTATTATTTGATCAAAAGGATCAACTGTGTAGGGGATAAAATGGGTTGAGGCACTTTTAATGTGCCAATACCCTGCGTAGGTTTGACAACACCCTCAACATCTTCAGCAACGTTTCCCTCAAAATAAATCCTCCCCTTTTTTATGATTGAGTGTTGAAGCGAAATTGACACGAGGAAATATTTTTCACCGCCGTAATCTTCACGGTTGCAACTAAAAATTTAACCAAAAGTACACTAAAATTTAACCAAAAGTATTTTGCCCAAGTTCCTTTATTCGAGATGTATTTATTATATTTTAATTCCTCTTCCTTCCCTGACACATCTTCATCCTCTCGAAGTGAAAAACCTCATCTATAGTCAGACTAAAATTTATTTTCCCTTTGAAAAGTGGTGTTTCAGTTGTCTTCATTAAGAAATCAACAATTCAACAATGGAATTAATTTAATTCGACTATTTAATTGGACTATACTAATTTTCTCGCAAAATTGTCTATTTTCCAATTATCACTCCAATTATTACTCACCCCCGCATTTTCATTATTTGATCAACAGGACCAACTGTGCAGGCGATAAAATGGGTTGAGACCCTTTTAACGTGTTAATACCCTGCGTACGTTTGACAACACCCTCAACATAAATCCTCCTCATTCTTATGATTGTGTTTCGAAGCGAAATTGACACGAGGAAACATTTTTCACTGTCGTAATCTTTACGGTTGTACACTACAATTTATCCAAAAGTATTTCCCCCAAGTTTCTTTATTCGAGATGTATTTATTATATTTTAATTCCTCTTCCTTCCCTGACACATCTTCAGCCTCTCGAAGTGAAAAACCTCATCTATAGTCAGACTAAAATTTTCTTTTCCCTTTCCAAAATCGTATTTCAATTGTCTTCATTGAGAAATCAAAATTTCGTTAATGGAAATCACAGAAAACTGTGGCCTGAGATTACGTTTCTGATAGAAGAGAAAATTTAGTTGGACTATACTAATTTTCGCGAAATGGTTTATTCCCCATTTGTGTGTACTCACCCGGGCATTCTCATTATTTGATCAAAAGGACCAACTGTGCAGGCGATAAAATGACTTGAGACACTTTTAATGTGTCAATACGGTGCGTACGTTTGACAACACCCTCAACATCTTCTGTAACGTTTCCCTCAAAATAAATCCTCCCCATTTTTATGATTGTGTTTCGAAGCGAAAGTGATACGAGGAAACATTTTTCACCGTCGTAATCTTGACGGTTGTACACTACTATTTATCCAAAAGTATTTCCCCCAAGTTCCTTTATTCGAGATGTATTTATTATATTTTAATTCCTCTTCCTTCCCTGACACATTTTCAGCCTCTCGAAGTGAAAAACCTCATCTATAGTAGGACTAAAATTTATCTATGAGAAATCAAAATTTCGACAATGGAAATCCCGGGAACCTGTGGCCTGAGATTACGTGTCTGATAGAAGAGAAAATTTAGTTCGACTATACTAATTTTCGCGAAATGGTCTATTCCCCATTTGTGTGTACTCACCCCCGCATTCTCATTATTTGATCAAAAGGACCAACTGTGCAGGCGATAAAATGACTTGAGACACTTTTAATGTGTCAATACGGTGCATACGTTTGACAACACCCTCAACATCTTCAGCAACGTTTCCCTCAAAATAAATCCTCCCCATTTTTATGATTGTGTTTCGAAGCGAGATTGACACGAGGAAACATTTTTCACCGTCGTAATCTTCTCGGTTGTACACTAAAATTTATCCAAAACTTTTTCCCCCTCAGTTTCTTCATTCTCTTCTCCAATCGAGATATATCTATTTTCATTCCTCTTACCTTTCTCTATTTTTTCCCTCTCTTTTCTCTTTCTCAGAGAGGGAGGGGGGCACTCTACGGCCCTCGAGTGCCTGTGACGTCGAGTACTACGGTCTGAGCTCACCAAAGGAAGGCTGGGTGGTGCACCCTATTTCCAGGCTGTTCACCCTGCAAGGCTCCGTCAAGTGCAAACACCACTTCATTCCAGCCGCTAACCAATCGGCGATTCTCACGGTACCGTATAACCATAAACTACCGAGAATCCCTCGAGAAGTGATAATTGTCTTTGGGGCACTTGAAATCCTGCTGACAGGCTTTCTTATCGATGATTTAATATTTCAAGGTGGAGAATGACAGTGCCAAACGGGCAGCCAGCAATCTCTGCGTTACGCTTTGCGGAGACAGTGGGTGCAGGTGCATGAGTGACAGACCTCTGGATACCATTGATTATCTGCAAGTTGGGTCGGAACCTGGACACATCATTATGTGCCTCTGTGGGGATTACCAGGTGATTGGAGGACATTTTTTAAAAGCAATTTCTGGAAATTATTTGTTTACTTTGTGATTACTTTGTAATTATTGAAAATCATTTATTTACTGTATAATTAGTTTGTGATTATGCTTTCTTCAAAGGTTAATTGATGGTATTTATTATTTCATTTGTATATGCAGAATTAAAAAATTGATTTCAACCCAGAAAATAAAATTTTCCAATGCGTAAAACATTTGAATTTTTTATTTATAAAAATAATTTTTTTATAATTTCAGTAGAATTGTGTGATGAACATGGGGCCAAGAATTTCCCCCAAGTTCTGTTATTTGAGACATATTTATTTCTATTTTTCATCTTCATCCTCTCGAGATAAAAAATGTCATCTACTAGTTTTCTTGCGAAATTAACTATTTCACATTTGTGATAGATTCATCCCTGCATTCTTAGATTTGATTCAGAGAACCAATTGAGTATGCGATAAAATGGGTTGAAGCACTTTTAACGTGTCAGTGACATCCATTATTTCATTTGTCAATTTGCGGAATTAAAAAAAATTATTTCAACCCAAAAAATAAAGTTTTCCGAAGCGTGAGCCCTTTGAATTAGCTATTTATGAAGAGGATTTTTTTCTGTAATTCCAGTAGAACTATAATGTGACAAAAATTTCCAAAAAGTCTATCAAAAATTTCAAACACAATATTTTCACACGGTAATTCACTAAAATTTATCCAAAAGTATTTCCCCTAATTTTTTTCATTCAAGACCTATTTATTTCTATTCCTCTGCCTTTTCCGACATATCTTCATCCTTTCGCGGTAAAAAATCTCAACCAATTTTGTCGCGAAATTAACTATTTCACATTTGAGAGCCATTCACCCCTGCATTCACATCTATTATTTCATTTGTAAATGTGCAGAATTGAAAAAAAAATTGATTTCCTCCGAAAAAATAAAGTTTTCCAATTTATTTATAAATTACTGTGAGAGATTTTTTGAAACCTAAGTAACAGATTCATTTGAATTTTCAATATTCGGAACTTGAATTCAATTTCAGACTAAATTGCTCATAGAATTTCTGATTTATCTTGGAAATTCAATAAAATTAAGTTTTTCATGATAAGTGATCATTGAATTTTCAACGACAATTGGGATTTTCACACCTATCGCGAAAATTTAGCATTACATTTATTTGAAATTTCAAAAGATTAAAAATTCAGAAGAAAAATGGCCTGAATTTTCACGATTTTCAGTAACTTTCATGGTCGTATGTACCTGAGAAATCAAATTTAATTGAATATTCAAGAAAATTGACTGACTTATCAATAACAAAATCAACCTAAATTCCATGTAAATTATTCGTTGTTAAAAATTTCACCATTTTTTACTTGAAATTTCAAGAGTAATTTTCTAACAGTGAATCCTTTTTTGCGTCATTCCAATAAAACGACAACACGATAAAAATTTCCAAAAAGTCAGCCGGAATAAAAATTCATGTTCTCAATTTTCCACGAAATTCACCTCTCCATCAAATTTCCTCGTCCCCCAAGCGCAGACCATTGACTGGGATATTTTCCAGAATTGGCTACCCCTGAAAATCCGAAGTTGGACACCCCTCTATATCGAGTGGTCTCGCTCATCAAGATCAGGCTTGGGTTTCAAAGCCAACTACAAATTTGCTGAGAGTGCTTACTGCGGCGATCATTCGACGCGAAAACCGGAGGGTATGATACGCGCCGAGGATCTCAGTGTACCCGGTATCTCGAGTCTCAATCAGTACTATCAACAAAAGTGCATGTGGATATTGGATTCGTCAATCGACAGACAGCTCATCATCGAGGTTGAATCATTCCAGGACAGTGAGTATTTACTTGAATAAATAGCCACACCACGATAGTGTGTCAATTCATCATGAATCGCTGAGTCTTCCCATTGAGTAAATAAACGATACTATTTCCGGGAATAATTTGGCTGCGTTACGTATAAATTCGTCCAATAATCCCGGCAAATTCAACGATAAACTCCCCAGCATTTTGGTGGGGTAAACAATTTATCGAAACGTTATCTCAAATTCACGAAAACGAGATTGGGCAAAACGTTTATTATTCAGGGGGGTGGTGGGCCCAGGAGTGGAGACCTGTGTGTGTGCATCCCCCACTGAATGTGTAGGGGGGATCAACCGTTAACGCTACATGTATGCAGTGTATAAACTATATAGGTTGACATAGCAAACGATACGGTACGAATAAATATACTGTCGTTCATTCCACTGCCAGGGGTTTTCCCTCGGAACAACCAATTAAGGGTGGGCGTCGGCAATTAATTGCTACCGACAGTCGGGGATAGATAACGAAACGACCAGCAAGAATGAGGAAATAAGAGAAAATGTGGAAAAAGGAGTCCTACGAGTATCGAGATACGGGAGATTGATTCATGGGATATGGGCAATGTTAACTGGAGATTTTTAACTTTAATTGAATTTGGAAAATTCATTGTGAGATCATAGTCATGGAAATGTTTACAATTTATGGAGGGAAATAAAAACACATTTATTTATTTGTGTATTTAGTTGTTTATGGAAGAACCGACAGCCGAAGCCAATAAGAGGTTCAAGAAGATACATGCATCGGTTGAAACAATGAGTCAAAGATCTTATATAAGCGCTTTTTTTTTTATTTGAAGCATTCAAACCATTTGGTTTATTCTGCTAAAAAAAAAGATTTACAAAAATACAAAATATTCAATTACATAACAATACACCTTATATATAGTTAACATTTTTACAAAGTTCTTCAGTCGTTATTACAATTTTCATGTTTTTTTCAAATGTTTAATCCACTGGAGGTCAAGGAGGAATCAATGTGTAACAGGATTTTCCTGTTCAAATTTCTCAGGAATACGCTGATTTTATATAAGCGCTTTAATAGTCATCTTCATTAACACATAAAATAATAAAAATTGAACTCTATTTACGTTTGTGTTAATTATTATTTCTGCTGTAATCTTGAGGCGATTGAAGTAGTATTGATGGCGAAAATAAAATGATCTACATTGGCAGATTGACACAATTAAAACTGATCTTAAATTATCGAAAATAATTGACACAATTTCGTAATACGGGAAGTAAAAAATAAATCGAATGATATTGTACATTAATAGAATTACAGTTCAACGGGAGCAAACTTAACTTTATATTTACATTCCCAAAATCGTTATGACATCTGATGACTATCATTTTACGTAATGAGAGGGCTCAACAGCCACGAGAGATTGTAAAATTCCACTTCTCTATTCAACAAATTCTCCCCCGATCCCTAAAATATTTTCTCCCATTCTTTCGTGTCACTCTAGTGACATGTATTATATTTTATGAAAGACGTTAATACAACTCTGGATACTGTACATATGAAACAGAAGCTCAAAAGGTATGAGACAACATTGATGGGATATTGGCATGACATTGAATCCTCATTTATCATTGTAATTTCATTTGCTCCCGTCCAGTTGTTCCCCAGATTTTGTTCTCATCCTCAATCAAATAATCAACAACTATTTTATCATAACAATGACTCTCAATGATTCTCTAGAAAATCACATAGTAAACAAATTCATTAAAAAAAATGTTAAATCCTCCCTGAATGATATTTTCTAAAATACCTTCGGTATAAAAATCAATGAAATTCCATAGAAAATACACCCTTCAATTTCCAGGACCCTGTACAGCCTGGAACTTGACGATACACGAGTACAAGAAGACCGGTGATCCCATTGGCCAGAGACTGCACACATTCTGCTCACGCGATAGGCATAAAAATTTCACCCTCCCCTGGAAAATGAACACCGCAGTTGTCAGGTATAAAATGCGATTTCTCCCTTCGTCTTATCATCTTTGAAATTGAAATAAAAAAAATTTTCTCGAGAAAACTTGAAGCTCTCTCACACTCTGACACAGATTGCAAGCGCTCGGCAGAACGGCGCCTCAGTACGTGATGAAATGGCGAAGTGACACAGTTGTGGCGAATACACGAAAAAGTGGCCCCTCGCCAGCACCAAATTACGTATCCGGCACGTCAGTGGCGGTACTCGTTAATCATCACTCCTTCCCTCTGCTTTTGTCAACCTCGTTGTTATTATTTTTATCGTGTTATGACAATGTCTGAATTATCGTGGGGTGTCTAGTGTACATAGGGGAATTTCTCTTGCCTGCGAATAGGGGAAAGAATTAACGAGTGGACAATTTTATCGAATCAATTCATTGAATTACTGTAAATAATATAAATAAGGAGGTAGGGAAGTTTTAATTGACAGTGCTGGCATTAATTTCTTGTATATAAAATGTAGATTAATAGAATTTGTACAGAATACATTGAATTTAAATAATGGGTAATGTAGGGTGATGGAGAAAAGTAATGAGAAAATTTATAATCGGGGGTGTAAGGCTAGAGAAACGACGAATTTTGGCGAACGAGCTTGGGGTGCCTCTGCGCCACAATTTGCTTACGAGGAACATCAGTTATTCCAATGCAATCCGAATGAAATGAAAGTCTGCCAAAAAGGTGCGCTGAAAGTCCACAATTCAAGAAAATTCCAGACCACACGCACGAAAAAATTTAATAGAAAAACCTATCGAATTCGTTAGAAAATTCTATTGAATTTCTATTCAACTTTCTATTAGTTTTTGACTGATTCTATTGACATGTTCAATAGAAAATATTCAATAGAAAAAGTCAACAGAATTCGATTTTTCTATATATTTTATTCTTTTCATATATTTTCTATAGAATTTGCTCGACTCAAATTTTCCTAGTTTTTTTCATTCTATTTTTCTGTTCTTCTCATCAAGAAAATCAAACGAAAAAACTTCGAAAATTTGAGCCAAGGAAATTCTGTAGAAAAAATCTCAATAGAATAAGTTCCATAGAAAAATTGAATTCTATTGACGTTTTCTACTAAATATTTTCTATTGAACATTTCAATAGAATCGGCCAAAAACTAATAGAACAGTTCAATAGAAATTCAATAGAATTTTCTAACGAATTCGATAGGTTTTTCTATTAAATTTTTTCGTCCGTGCATTTCACCTTTTTGGGGGGTCATTAGCAGTGATGATTCAACTCCCGCCGCAAACAATGTAATTTGAATTAATAAAGTCCTGGAGTTAAATAGACTGATGTCCCTGTTATCTGCTATGCAGTCGTCTACGAGGGATTTCATAGAAAAATCTGGGGAATTCACGAAAAATTCTATTGGAAGTTTCTGTTAGTTTTTGATCAATTCTGCAGAATTTGAAAAAAAAAAAAACAAAATATATAGAATTAAATTTTTTGTACAACTTACTGGGGCATTTTCTGTAGAAATTCTTTTGCTCAAATTTTGTTTTGTTTGATTTTTTTAAAGAATTAGAAGAAAAATAGAGCGAAGAAATAGCAGTTCAATAGAAATTCTGTAGAATTACTTATTGAATTCACCAAGTTTTTCTATGAAATTAATTTCGTACGTATCCATCGATGATTGATCAGAGATAAAGAATTAACAGAAAAATCTATCGAATTAGTTAGAAAATTTTATTGGATTTCTATTGAACTTTTAATAGAAAAAGTCAATATAATAAGATTTTTCTATATAACGTCTATTGAGACATTTTCTATAGAATTACCTCGGCTCAAATTTTCCAAGTTTTTTGTTGAATTTTCTTGCTGAGAAGAATATAAAAATAGAATGAAAACCAATTTAGAAAATTTCAGCCGAGTAAATTCTATAGAGAATATTTCAAGCGAATGAGTGATATAGAAAAATCAAATTCTATTGACTTTTCCGAAATCCAACACAAACTTCTAACGAATTCGCAAAGTTTTTCTTTAAATTTTTTCGTGCCCGATTGGATGAAAAAATTCATCGATCATCGCCGGAAATCAATGGGGGAAGGAAGAAGAGATGTCGAGAAATACGGAATAGTAGATTCTCACTATTACATGTACGTATTAATGAGTACAGGAAACCGAAAAAAAATCCACGACAGACTACTAGTGAGTACTGACCGATCGATTAAAAGGTGACGGTGGAGATACGAGGCTGAAGCTTCCATAAACCTAAAGCTATTTTTTATGATCATTTAATTTATCCTCTTTTTCATATTTTTTATGGTGAAAATGCTATGAAATGTTTTATTATCAACCGATGTATACATATAGATAGTGGCTTCATAAACTTTTAGAGCACCATTTTCATCAAAGTACTCTTCAGCTCTTTATACATTTTCACAAGAGGCGATTTTAATAGACATATCAGCACTGATAGAGATGAATGAGTTTTTCAATGATCGAACAGTTATTTATTCGAAAAAAAGGTGCTCACGAACCGATTCACTGGAATTGAGATGATTTTTTAACGAATGGAGAGGAAGAGGATTTGAAAATTTGTCTCGTTCCCAAACCGTCCAGAATAACAATGGAGAATATTGACACAATTTGATAAAGAAATGAATATTTATATTTACGTGTGTTTTGACCTCGTCACAACAATGATGAAAGTCTACAGGTAATTTTATTGTTCACGTCGAATTGTTCGATGCTGATGCAGAAAGATATGTGAGATATAATTGAAAGAGAATTTGTTTTGTTTGTCATCTAAACATCGAAATTGATGAATAAACCACAGCCTCCAGATAGCCGGAATTTTAGATCGATGCAATCTAGAAAGCATTCAGCTCTCGGTTAAATGCTTTTTAAATTGGGTAAAAGAGAAATAAAAATCTAAATAGAATTCGAGAGAGAGGGAGAGAGAACGAGAGAATTGCGTATGAATTGAGGGTACTACATGTTACATGTATTAGTCGTGTATATTTAAGTAAACAATAGTCAATTGTTTTGCATAAAATATTAATAAAAATGGAATGACAACAGTGATATCTTGTTAATTGTGTTTATTAATGAGTCAACTGGTAATATAAAACAATTCATGTTTATTGAAACATAACACATTACAGGTATTTTACACATCTTTATTAACACATCAAATAAAAATTGAACTCTTTATTCACGTTTGTGTTAATTATTATTTCTGCTGTAATCCTGAGACAATTGAAGTAGTATTGATGGCGAAAATAAAATGATCTACATTGGCAGATTGACACTATTAAAATTGATCTTAAATTATCGAAAATAATTGGCACAATTTCGTAATACAGGAAGTAAAAAATAAATCGAATGATATTGTACATTAATAGAATTACAGTTCAACGAGAGCAAACTTAACTTTATATTTACATTCCCAAAATCGTTATGACATCTGATGACTATTATTTTACGTAATGAGAGGGCTCAACAGCCACGAGAGATTGTAAAATTCCACTTCTCTATTCAACAAATTCTCCCCCGATCCCTAAAATATTTTCTCCCATTTTTTCGTGTCACTCTAGTAACATGTATTATATTTTATGAAAGACGTTAATACAACTCTGGATACTGTACATATAAAAAAAAAGCTCAAAAGGTATAAGACAACATTGATGGGATATTGGCATGACATTAAATCCTCCTTTATCATTGTAATTTCATTTGCTCCCGTCCAGTTGTTCCCCAGATTTGGTTTTCATCCTCAAACAAATAATCAACAACTATTTTATCATAACCGAAATAATCTAACAATTTCCTCGTGCTTTGCACAGGATATGCCAATGATTGTCTAGTAAATCACATAGTAAATAAATTCATTTAAAAAAATGGTAAATCCTCCTTGAATGATATTTTCTAAAATACCTTCGACATTGAAATCAATGAAATTCCATAAAAAATACATCGAAGAGTAGTATCTCTAATTAATGAGCATTTGTTACATAATTTTCATTATGATCGTATCACTTTCAATCGATAAAACGTTCATATTCCCTAATTATTACGTTATTATGACTGACACAATCGAGACGCTATTGGAAATTCTAAAACTCTTGTAATCGGATAGTGTATTGTTCACAGAGTACATTGACTTTCTACTTGACAACAATCATGGTAATAAGAAAAATCGATATGGGTTGAAACTCCACAGATATGTTTCCGATTGAAAAAAAAATTAATGACGAACAATTGTTACTATCCGCTGATATGAATCGTTTCGAGACACTTATTGGAGAGATAGCTACTTCATAAATTCTTTTATGCATAATGATCCCACATTGTCAGACTGAGATTGAGCCCAAATAATCTCTTATTTATAATCATTTCTTTTGTTTACGAGGGTGGATTGTGGAGGAAGGCAGATGCTGAGTTAAGGAGTCCAAGTCTCTGCTTCTGCTTACGTTGCTCCGTCATCTTGAAATAAAAAATAACATTTTTTAAATATTCTCATCACATAAATAAATAAGGAAAATTGTTTGAGTTTCAAAAACACTATTTTCGTCAATGAAATGGACTTTTTGTAAAATTTTGAATATTAACTAATTTGGAAATAATTGTAATGTTCAAATTATTTTAGGAGAAAATGAATTTTTCATTTCTCTCAGATTAAATCATAAAATCATTGCATTCAGCAAAAAAAATACCAAAATATAAACTAATATGACAAATTTTCATATTCCTTCTTCTTAACTTATTCTCTAATATATCAACATATCAAATTTTACATTCAACATTAAAAGATTTAAAGTAAAAGATATAATGTCAAATTTTCTTCCCATCACACATCAATCACTAATCACCCTGCCCCGACATAAATTAAATTCATCTGATCCCCCCCAGATATCCCCTGATAAATTTCGCTAATTATCAATATACATCTCCCCCTACCTGATCCCGAAGTTCGGTAAGTTGTTGTGACAGGCACTTAACCAACAGCTGAGTCGACTCCAACTGAGACTGAAGACTCCGCAATTCCACTTGCTCCCCCTCGCCCTCATCAGCGGCCAGTGATTTAGCACGTAGCCTTGGAAACCAGTCGAGATTGCGATCCTGTTGAAGTACATAGAGCTTAGAATTAATAACCACTGCCAATGGGCCAGTGAATCCAAAGCCCTACGAACTAATACCTTGACCATGGCGTACACGTACGACTCGGGACCGGTAAATTCCGTTGGATCCTTCACCTTAACAAGAACAATGAAGTAGAGATAGTGCCACATATTGTGCTCGTGTTTGATATGCTCCTCGAATGACACAGTTTTATTATCGAATGCCGATCTATTAAGTCCACAAATGAAGCACGTGTTCTTGAGAATCAGCTCCTTCTGCTGCTTCTCAGACCTCAGATCGGCAAAGGTATCGATTATCACACCAAAAATAAGATTGAGAACAATAATGATAACAACGAAGAAGAACAGAAGATCGTAAACAACTCTGGCTACGAACAGTGGTTCAGTGCTCGAGGGGGCCCTCAGGACATCTCCAATGCCCCCTCCATTCCTCAGTCCCTGATTCAGAGTGGTAACAATGCACATGACTAAGGAATCACATGCCCGCTCCTTCATCTCCCCTCCGACGCTCACCAACTCCGCGGATTCCTTCATCTCCTGGACGTATCTCGAGAGCGTCTCCGTAGCCTCGCAATTATCACCCGCCTCGCAGGTGCCCTTACCCTGGACCTGGGAGACTATCTCCTCGTCCACGCTGACTAGAAAATCGTCCTTGAAGAACATGTACCTGTGGGAGGCACAGCAGTTAAGGCGAGGCTGATTTTTTTTTAATCCGCAGGGTTTTATGTATAGATCAACTTTTCTAGATAACATTTTGCGTTCTGAAAGGTGCGTGTAAGGAAAAATCTTTGGGGATCTCAGGGGCCTTTGAATTCCCCCCAAGAAATAATTATCCCTCAAGCTCTCAAGCATATTAGAAATTATCTAATGGCGTAGTCTCGGTCCGGAGGAGCGAACTCCCCAAAATGAAAATAATTCGATTACATACTTTCCTGAGAACTCTTCGCCTTCCTGACGCACGCAATGCAATGCACACCCTTACCTTTTTGTTGTCAAGTGTGCTCGTGCTTGATTTAACTTAAACTCGATTTTTGGGAAGAGGGAATAATTCAGCAAAAATGGAGAGAAGAGTATCGGGTGACTAGAAATATCTATATTCTAGGGAACTTGTAATAAATGACTTGAGAAGAATAAAATAAAATCAAGAGATGCGGGTCGTCACCCAAAATAATAATAACTGAGGAAACTAGAAAGAAAATAATACTGTTGTTGAATATAAAATATCGAAAATAGAGAAAATAACAATTTCTAGAGAATTTCGGTCCATAAAGGCCACGAGGGCAAGATTATGGGTCATGAGGGTCAGATTAAGGGTCACAGGGATTAGATGAAGAGTCACGAGTGTCATAATAAGGGTCATGAGGGCCACAGTAAAAGTTACGAGGGTCAGAATATGAAAGAAAAATAAGAATCGAAAATAGAGAAAATAATAATAACGATTTCCGGAGAATTCCGGTCCATAAAGGTCACGAGGGTTAGATTAAGGGTCATGAGAGTCCGAATAAGGATCACAAGGGTCTGATTAAGGGTCACAGGGGTTGAATTAACTATCATGAGAGTCAGAATAAGATTCACGAGGGTCAGATTAAGGGTCACAGGAGTAAGATTAAGGGTCATGAGGGTCAGAATAAGAGGTACGAGGTTCATAATGAGGGTCATGAAGGCCACAATAAAGGTTACGAGGATTACGAGTCAGAATATGAAATATCGAGAGACCAATAAGAATCGAAAGTAGAGAAAATAATAACAATTTCGGAGAAATCCGGTCCATAAAGGTGACGAGGGTTAGATGAAGGGTCATGAGGGTTAGAATAAGGGTTACGAGGATCATAATAAGGTTCATGGGGAACACAATAAAGGTTACAAGCGTCAGAATAAGGGTTATGAGGGTCAGGATAAGGGTTACGAGGATCAGAATAAGGGTCATGAGGTTCAGAATAAGGGTTACGAGGGTCAGAATAAGGATCCCGAGGGTCAGCTTAAGTGTCAAGTTAATGGTCATACGGGTCAGATTAAGGTTCACGAGGGGTTGCGAGGGTCAGATTAAGGGTCAGAATAAGGATGGAATAAAGAAGGAGGGTCAGATAGGCGTCATATGTGGGTCTCACGGGGGTTGTGAGGGTCAGAATAAGGATGGAATAAGGAAGGAGGGTCAGATGGGCGTCATATGTGGGTCACACGGGGATTGTCCACCCTACTCTTAAACAAAACGATCAACATGAATCCTACATACCCAATTATCGAGAACATGTACACGAGGATGAGTGCGAGAACGGCCGTCAGTATGATAGACCTCCCATTCCTCGTGACCGATCTGATGACATTGAGGAGAGTCTCCTCGCGGTAGACAACGTCGAACAGCAGAACGGAATAGAAGAACGGATGCATGCATATCCCGAGGACGCAGAACATGAGGTACACCGCGTGGTACCACAGCTCCACGTTCGTTATTATCTGCTGGGCGCTCTTAGTCAGGGTTCCCTGATTACCGATGATGCTGATCATGTGGACAATCTTGAAGACGATCGTGGTGAACCCGAGGAGCATCAGAGTCGGTTCAGGACCGATCGAGAAAATCAGTCTGAGTATTGTGGATGCCGCGAGGGTTCGAATCCCCGTGACTCTGGGGAGGGTCAGGACTATTGCGCCCGAGGACAGCATCACCGTCCAGATGAGTCCCGACAGCTGTGGAATTATCAACTTAGGCACATTGTCGACGAAGGGGTAGAAGAAAGCTACAATGAGATTGATCAGCACTGCGCAGTTGAAGAGGAGATTGCTCCAGAGGGACATGTAGCTGCTCATCCAGAAGAGCATCGGCTGCCCTCGAAGCTTCTTCTGCCACTTCATCTCATTGAACATGTCCTCGGTTCTCTCGAAGAAGTCCGACACCTTGGACCCCTGATCGTCGCGTTCCGCCGTGTGCAGGACCTTCATCTTCGTGTCGAGGGTTATCAGCTCGCAAATCTCGGGGATGGGGAAGACGATTTGCTCGAGGGTCCTGTCGTGCCGGACTATCTCGATCTGCGCTGTGTGGGTCGCGTAGTACTTGAGGGCTTTATTGATCTTGGGATCTGCGTTGTTCAACTCTGAGGGCCTCAGCATGGTCGCCAGCTCCTTGTTGTGGTGGGCCAGCTGGTGGCACAGGATGTAGATATTGTGGCCCACTTCCTTCGGCGACACCCCCTCGTCCCCGTCGGTGGAGGCGTCGTCCGCGTCGGGATCGTCGTCCAGACTCTCCTGGTGGAATGCCCTGCAGGCCACGTCTACAAGCTGCTTCGGGTTCATGTTGTAGAGGATTCTCTCGGCATTCTCGCTGTCCCCCCTGCTCTCCATGATCGCCAGCAGCAATTTACTCGCGTTGTTCTTCAATTCCAGGACCAGATCCATCCGCGTTTTGCCGAGGGGATTTATGTCGTTCAGGATCAGGGCGGTGATGATGTCGAGACCATTCGACTCGTGCGTGGCTATGCAGTTCTGGTTGTCGTGGCAGGGGCCCTGGCAGTACTCGGTCAGGGTCTCCAGCGTCTGATTAATGAGAGCCACGTTGTGCTCGTTGATGTACAGCCCCAGGAGGCCTAGACCACCGGTCGTAGAGCCGCAGATGCAGTCCAAAAACATGAGCGTTTCGGATACTAGATTGAAGTTCGTCTTGTTATTCTGGTTGCGGAGGTAGTTCTGCAGGTCTCGGTTGTGGTTCTCGCAGAGGAGCTGCAGGAATCGCAGGATCGGCTGCATCACCAGGACTTTGGCGCTCAGGAGGCCCTCGTCACGCTCGGAGCTCGCGTTCCCCCTGTGTCTGTCCAATTTCTCGGCCAACATGTCCTCCAGGGCGTAACCCAGGGCTGCGTTGCTCGATATGTCCTCCCCAGAGGCTAGTGTTCGGACGTTCGCGTAGGCCTGCGCCGTCGATGCCGCCGCCTGGTTCAGCTCCTCCCGGAGTTCTTCGGTTAACACGATCCCGTTGGGCTTCGTTGACAAACGCTTCTTCGAGATCTTCTCCAGTTCTTTGTTCTGCTCTTTGTCCTCGTGGGCTTTTGCCGCTATGTCAGACGTGTTCACCGTCACTGTCGCCTTTATCTCCTGCTGAGAGTCCTTCATCTTCTCGTTGAAGACCTTGAAGAAGGACTGACTCAAGTCGTCGCCCATCAGCTTCGAGTACACGCTCTTTTGGATTATCGGGTTGCCACCCTCCAGCAGGGCTATGCCCAGCTCCACTGCCTCGACGAAGATGCTGGGGGAGTGGACGCTCTTTATCACGAGCTCCACCACCAGGTCGGAGGCACCCTCGCGGTCCAGGTGGCTCTGGACCTCGTGCAGGGTGCGCCCCGCTCGGCTCAGGAGTTTCGCGCCTGGACCGTGGGTTATCGAGGTCGAGGAGAGGACCCCGATGTCCACGTGCTCGGCTTTCTGGAGGAAAGCTTTACCGAAGTAACGGATCAGCAGGTTGTTCCTCAGGGCCTCACCCTGTGGAAGAGAGCGCTCGGTTGGTGGAGGCTTGGGGGGAGCGATCGGCAACCATGTACCAATACTGAGTAGCAGGGGTGAATATTTCAGTGGCGAAGTGGTGAAAGGGGTTAAGTCGACTTATCTCCCAGTTGAATTTTTGGGAAATATTTCTGAATCTAAGGGAGATTAATTACATTTCTTGTACACGGAGAGAGATATTCAGTAAAAATTACGTATCTTTTCCGCTATTCCGGAGCGAAATGTGGTTGTAGGAAATTTTACGGAACTGTCACGGAATTTTTTCAGAGCGTTCCGTAATTTTTATCTGAATGAGACCGAACTGTAATTGTAGCAATCATAACTGAAAATCTCAAAATTAAATTAATCATGAGTTAAATTTGCCCCCTGAGACGACTGGAACTAATGAGGAATGAGCGTGACAGATTTGCGAGATACCGATAGTTATCGACTTTAAGGGTGACCGGAGTTTTTTTTCCCGAAAAAAATTCCTCGGAAAAAATTTCCCCGGAAAAAATTCTCCCGAACACAAATTTCCCCGGAAAATGTTTCCCCCAACAAAGATTGATTAGTATTTGAGGTATTTTGTGGGAGAATTTTATTCGGGGAAATTTTTTCCGGGGAAATTTTTGTTAGGGGAAATTTTTTCCGGAAAATTTTTGTTGGAGAAATCAATTCCGCAAACCACTTTAAGTGTATTTTCTTTTTAGAATAGGAATAACCTGTGGAAAATTGCGATATCGTCACTAAAATTTTCTCAGTCGATTCCGTAATCGGTGAGCGAATTGTGAGTTCTGCAATTTTTACTGAACATTTCTCCCCGTGTAGCACTCAATCCGCTCTACAAAAAAGATTTGTTTGAAACGCAGCAAATAAGTCATTATCTAAAGTTACCGGACTCAACGAAAAGTCTCAACCTACTTCGGGACCTTTCGGCTCGACGGGCAAATTACGAGGCAAGTGGCCAAATATGAAATTTCAGTAGTATCAATCTATTCCTCAAAGAGTATACACGGTTAGTCAGAGAGTCACCTATAGAGTACAGTATCAGAGTAACCGAGTATCGAGTACATCACCGAGTGTTATATTGACTCTAGCGCTCTGTGTAGCGTCTCTATTTCGTTCAATTATCAATTAATTCCGAGTTAACTATCAATCATTTTGAGTCAATCATCAAGTTTAATATCGAGAGAATATGTAGTGCAGTGTAAAGACTATTATCAAATTGACATTGAGACATTCACCAATTCGTGTATCCCTAAAATGAAGACGCGTGGCTTACGCCACAAATAAAGTACATCACCAGTGGTTTTGTAATGCACGGGTCTTTAATTTCACTCTTTCCATGTCATATGCCCCCAATCCGCCCTAATATTAGCCTCAATCTCTAACAAGGTTATAGCAAAAATTTTCATATCTTCCTTAGATTCCGAGATATTCATTGAAAACTGGTCAATAGTCAAAATTGACTTATACCGTTTTACCACTTCGTTACTGATTTGGTAAAGAATATTTTTAGTTTAGTCGAGTTGGGGGAGGAGCTCTGCATACGGAGAAATTAAGCTTTTGAATTAAATTAAAATCCTTATATACAATTTTTCCAGTCAACTCAATATATTTTTTTAAATTCATAGAGTTATTGATTTATTTACGTGGCAATGGGTAATTATCTGAAATGAATAAATCAATAAACGATCCATTTTATCCAAATGAAGAATTATTTATTCCAGAGATTAAACAATAAGTTAATTTTTAACTAGTGAAGTCTGGGTTTAGGTCACGAAACATTTGCTTCAGTTCATAGATTGTTATTCAATTCAAATAGACAATTTCTTCGGGTGTGTGCATTTTAATCAGTCAAAGGGGATATGTAGCAGAAAAATACAAATGTAAAAGAAGAAATAATGTAATTATCGAAGCGGGAATCTAATTCTTTACTTTCAATTTCAGTAGTAAAGTGATGAATAATTTCTCGCATTCTGTCAAAAATTGCATTATCAGTTAAAAAGATTTCAAAAGAAAATCCTCAAATACTTTCTCCCAAAATTTTTTCCGCGATAATTGCAACAAATAACAGCGTCGAAACTATCATCGTGTCTCACCACTCCACTTCTAATTCCAGATAAATATATCAAGATACAAAATATCAAATAATGCTAAAATACGAGGTGAGTATTGGTACATCCTGCCCCTCGGCTAATAAAAAAAAAATTAATGAAATATTAGATTCGATGAAATCAATAAAAGCGTTAATACCGTAATCTCGATTTACATAATAAAATTCAAGCGTGCACTACAGCTTCATGCCGACCAAGCCTAATGATAAAAATTGCCCCAAATAATCTCTACAGAATAGTCCTTCATAAACCAACAGATGAGATGACTATTCCATCTCACATCTATCAACCGTTCTCGTTCTATTATTTAAACTCATTTTGAGTCAACCAATCATCAATTTTTACCCGCTGCAGTTGAGTCATTTGATGAGTTTGTAACTGTTCATTAGTATCAGTTCCATGCCCCAAATCGTTTCCCCTGTCAGCATCCAATCCCGCTTCCACGACATCCTCAATTTCCTTAGCAGCATGAAAACACCTTTACCTACAGTTCTATTCTACGTAAAACCAATCTACTCACCAGAATTCCCAACACAAACATATCCACGATATTTTCATATCTGATTAAAATTCACGTATGAAAAATTCAATAGAAAACCTAGCGAATTTGCTAGAAGATTCTATTGAAATTCTACAAAAATTCTATGAGGTTTTTATAGGATTTCTATTGAAATCATGTAATTCTATTGAAAAATTCTATTTGTTTTTTGCGCTGATTCGATAAGACATTCGATAAGAAAACGGCAATAGATGTCGAATTTCTGTTCGAATTTTTCTCTTGAGATTTTTTCTATTTTAAATTATTGGGCACAAATTTTCCGCTGAATTTTGTTTTGCTTTGCATTACAGAATGCGAGTGACAGAATCCCAGGACCACATACTATGGCAATGTCCCCTTCTGAATCCGTAGAGATTAGAACTAACAGTCAAACTGAGATCATTGAAATATTTTTCTCCGTATTGGACTTTCCAGTTGATGGTGGCAACCTACTCGGAAGCTCTCACAGTGATGGACAAATTCTTCGGAAATGTAAGGTCCGCACATAAAAGGCGAAATGTATTTTTTAAAAACACTAAAAAGAAAATGTATGACACCCTATCGACAGCGTAAATAACCCTGTTATGGGATCTATACTATAAACTAATAAAAGAAAAAAAAATGCTTATACAATTTTTTTTTATCGTTATTTTACATCGCTTCGACCCGGTTAGGGTATGGGGTATCTTCCAGACGAATATGGATTTTTGGAGTGGGGGACAAGCATATGGGTGGGAATTACGTAGAGTGGGGGTACCCTGGGAAGGATAAACTTCTACTAGAAGGCCTATATACTGCGATGATGATCAAGACTTTAAATGGTTAGATCGCACCATTCTACCCGGTCGGGATTTGAACTCGGAACCTTTCGCATGTGAGGCAACGAACTTACCCACTGCACCAAGCCACCGGGATATTAAAAAAAAAAAAAAAAAAATCTCAAAAGAAAATTTTAAACAGAAATTCGAAATCTATTGACTTTTTGTTATCGAATATCCAATAGAATAAGCGCAGAAATAAAATAGAATTTTCCAATAGAATTCCAATAGAAATCCTATAAAAATCCTATAGAATTGCAATAGAATTTCCTAGCGAATTCGCTAGTTTTCTATTGAATTTTTTCATGCGTGTTCTCAATGTCAAGTATCTTGTTCTTTTTATTTTTGTTATCCTGACTCCACTAATTGATGTTTCAAAACAATTTCTAATCAATCTACTGAACTAAATGTGCGGTGTAACGAGTTGGGCACCCATAGAGCTTGTTAAAGTAGCATAAAGAAAGGAGCGTTCGTAAAGAATATTTTATTGCAGTTATTCTAACAATTATTCAGCGGCTGCTCCCAAGATGCTGTGAATTGCCGTAATCACTGATTCTCCATAAATTGTATTTTATCGGTTAATTATTGGTTTAATGAACGATATTTCGTGCAGATTGTACTGTATTTTAGTGCACAAACCTTCTCTCCGTATTCCGGATCTATAGCCATCATTTCACGAAGTGTTCTCAGGACTTTGACGCAAAGTTTCTCCTCAGTTTCCTCGAGAAGTTTCTCGGTGTGTTTTATTAATCTGGGGAGTGAAGAGGTCTTTTAGGCTCTTAGTTCAGGTTTTGGGGTCAATATTTTCATTTACCTTCTGATGAATCCGCCATTCTCACATCTCTTTCGGGCGTCGGTGCCCAGGGGAAAGAGCAATTCAGGGCGGTACAGGATGTCCACGAGGAGCGAGAGCTCTGACTGCACGAGGGGCTTTAATTGCTCTTCCAAGAGGGAAACAATGTCCTGGAGTCCCTCGATTATACTTCTGTCCAACCGCATCAACTGCTTCACATTGGGAATGATACCACGACCATCAGCCATTAGTTATGTTCAGGTCATGAATATTCGAGGGCAATTATTTTCGTGGAATCTCTTGATGTTTACGGGTTTGATATAGCTATAGGGGATTTTTCTACACTGTTAGAAAATTCACCTTGAAATTTCAAGTAGGGATAGACAATAATATTAGATTTTGACAATATTAAAAAGGGATTATCTCATTATATTGTTCAAGTTTAACTATATTTAACAAATTTAAAATATTGTAGAATTTATCAGCTAAATTTTTCGATTGACGGTGAATAAAGTATTTGATAATACTGAAATGTAATTTTTTAGTCAATAAGCTAATTCTAAATTTAGGTACTTGATTTTCGATTATCCAAATAATCGTCAATCTTCCTACCTAAATTATTGGTTGCTAGAATATTTCGAAATTTAAATGTACAAATTGATGGTTACTTTAATATTTAAAATTTTAAGATTTATGTTCAAAATTGACAACTTTACAATTTGACTGTAATTATGATTGATTGATATGCCTATCACTGATTCCAAGTAAAAAATCTTGAAATTTTTAACAACGAATAATGTACATGGAGTTTCCATTGATCTTGTTATTGATAAATCAGTCAATGTTTTTGAATATTCAATGAAATTTGATTCCTCATGTTCATACGACTATCAAAATTACTGAAAATCAAGAAAATTAAGGCAACTTTCTTCTCAATTTTCAATTTGTTGCTTAATTTGCGCGATAGGTTTGAAAATCCTAATTGTCATTGAAAATTCAATGATCGTACATAATGAAAAACCCAATTTTGTTGAATTTCTAAGATGAATCAGGAATTTCATGAGCAATTTAGTCTGAGATTAAATTTGACTTCAGAATATTGAAAATTGAAATTCAAAGTTTTTCTATTGAGACATTCTCTATAGCAATTTTCCAAGCTTTTCCACTCAATCTTGTTTTTCTTCTCATAAAAAAAGAACAAAAAAAACATTTAAAATCTGACTCGAGGAATTTCTATAGAAAAGATCTCAATAGAATAGGTTGCATAGAAGAATCGAAATCTCGTTTAAATTCATCTCATCAACTTGAATTAACGATTCAATTCGAAATTACTATTGGAATAAATTTTTATAGAACATTTACCTGACTCTGACTTCGTTCAATCTTCGGTTGCTTCGCTGCCTGCAGCCACTTCGTTGTCTGCCTGCTGAGCATGGCAGCTTTGTTGAACATCGTGGCCACCTGACACTCCAGGTCTGTTGGTATTGCAATGCCCCGTCCCTTCGCTAATCAATTGAACAAGTCCATTCAATCCCGACAGACATTTTTACTTTAGCAAAAACTAAATTTAAAATTGACCAGAGTTCCACGCACGAAAAGATTTGATTGAAAAACCTGGCAAATTCGTTAGAAAATTCTATTGGATTTTTATTGAACTTTCTGTTATTTTTTGGTCAATTCTACTGAAATGTTCAATAGAAAATATTCAATAGAAAAAATTGACAAAATTCAATTTTTCTATGTAAATAATTCTTTTCGGATATTTTCTATAGAATTTCCTCGGCTCAAAATTTGTAAGTTATTTTCATTCTATTTTTCTTTTCTTTTCATCAAGAAAATCAAAGAAAAAAACTTCGAAAATTTGAGCCGAAGAAATTCTGTAGAAAATATCTCAGTAGAATTAGTTATATAGAAAAATCTAATTCTACTGACTTTTTTATTGAATATTTTCTATTGAATATTTTAATAGAATCGGCCAAAAATGAATAGAAAGTTCAGTACAAATGCAACAGAATTTTCTAACGAATTCGCTAGGTTTTTCTATTAAATTTTTTCATCTGTGCCAGGCACAAAAGTACTTAATGCAAAAACCTGGCAAATTCGTTAGAAAATTCTATTGGCTTTCTATTGATTTTTCCATTAGTTTTTAACCAATTCTATTAAAATATTTAATAGAAAATATACAATAGAATTTAATTTTTCAGGTATTTTCTGTCGAATTTCTTCGGCTCAAATTTTCTGTTTTTTAAATTCTATTTTTCTCTCCTTCTCATAAAGAAAATCAAACAAAAAAAATTGCGCCAAGAAAATATTCTAGAAAATATCTCGATAGAGTAAGTTATATAGATAAATCGAATTCTTTTGACTTTTCCTAAAGAATATTTTCAATTCAATCCAAAAACTAATATAACGTTTAACATAAATCCAATAGAATTGTCTAGAAAATTCGCTAGATTTTTCTATTAAATTATTTCCTCCGTGTCGATATTTCGATTGAGTGAGCCACTCACCAACATCAGACAATGTCCTGATACAATTCTCGACATTGAATCTCTGCCCGGCATTGAGCCAGGCGCACTGCGACACCTCGAAGGCTGCATGAAGCAGCTGAACGAAAATCGGCTGTCTCGTCTGTTCAATTCAAGAGAACTCCATTAATAAACAGCCAAACAACATTAAAAATTGAACACTGATCATGTGGAGATAAAGTTCAAGTTAGTAGCGTGTCAGCCAATTGAGAAGATTAATCCCACGATGTATCATACATTATTAGCCAACTTTCAACAGTGATAGCAGACAAGTTAAATAAATTTTGATTAACACCGGGGATGGGAGACATTTTGATCGTTTTCATGCTCGTGTCAGTGGGCAAAACAATTTTGCGTGGTATCTTTTTGTGTACTTTTTCTTCTGTGAAATGTTTTCTCGTTTTTTCTTTCATTTTCTACTTACGGAGTCAGGGTCAATGTCGATGATCCTGTCGCACTCCTTCAGATTCCAAAACAGCCTGGCCTCGTGCAGGTGTTTCTATTAGTAAACCCAACCACCATACAGACCCAACGAATCAGAGCACCAATTGTATTTTTTTTCAATGTTCCGTTGAATCATATTAGCCAGCCGCAATACATGCCAAAAAATACAGATCATGCCGCTGCCAAAATCAGCAATTTCCAAGCACACGTCAAAAAATAGAAAATTTACGTACGAAAAATTTTTATCGAATCTAATGAATTCGCTAAATAATTCTATTGGATTTCTAATTAAGTTTTTGCCAGTTTTTTAACGATTCTATTGAAAAATTCACACAGATTTCCAATAGAGATGTTTAATAAAAGAATAGTCTATAACAAACATTTTTAAAACTATAGAGTGTGATTTTTCTGTACAACTTGTTCTATTGAGAGAGTTTCTACAGGAATTCCTCATTCCGGATTTTCTACATTTGTTCACACATGAAAAAAATCAATAGAAAACCTAGCGAATTCGCTAAAAAATTCTATTGTAATGCTACAGAAATGCTATCGGGTTTCTATAGGATTTCTATTGGAATTCAATTGAAAAATTCTACTTATTTTTTGTGCTGATTGGATATTCAATAAGAAGTCAATAGATTTCGAATTTCTGTTTGAATTTTTCTCTTAGTTTTTCTATTAGAGTTATTGGACACAAAATTTTCTAAGTTTTTTCCGCTGAATTTTATTTTGTTTTGCATTGTAGAATCCGACAAGAAAAAACTTAGAAAATTGATGTCTAAGCATTCTTATAGAAAAAATCTTAAGAGAAAAATTTAAACAGAAATTCGAAATCTATTGATTTTTTCTTATCGAATATCCAATAGAATCAGTGCAAAAAACTAATTGAATTTTTTAATAGAATTCCAATAGAAATCCTATAGAAACCCCATCGAATTCCTATACAATTACAATAGAATTTTCTAGATTTTCTATTGAATTTTTTCATACGCGTTTGTTCAATTCTCTTAATGAAAAAAAAGAAAAGGAAAAACAGAAAATTCATGTCGAGGAATTCCTAGAGAAAACGTCTCAATAAAAAACACCGAAATAAAAATATCGTAAATGTAAATGTGTAGCCTGCAGAATAAAAATCAATAAATTTTTATTTTTTTATACACATTTTTTCTATAGAAATTCCTCAGCTCTCATTTTTCACGTTTTGTTTAATTCTTTTCATAAAAAGAGAAGAAAAATAGATGAAAAAAACTTGAAAAATTCCCGTAGGAAATGTCTCAATAGAAATGTCTAAATAAAATTCTTTCCTGCGAGTTCCCTTCCCCTTTCCAAATAAACTATAATAATTCCAAGCAATGTAGCCATTAAATAGCTTACAGCGGCTAATTAAACTAGTCGACGTTTTTGACGTGTGCTTGCTCGACAGAAAACTTTAAATTATTCTCATGCAAAAGCCAGTGTAATAATGAATATCCATTACAGATCCCTGTGATTACCCAATTACTTTGAGAGAAAAAAAAATCAATCGATACTTTTAGCAATTTCGTGTATTTACATTTTCAACAATTTTCTATTTGTCTATTAATCTATTGCTTTCATTTTGTATCGGTTTACCTCCAGCTTAACGTGGTTTGATTGAAATGCAAAAGACAATGGAAGTATGTAATCTTTTGCATGAGTATGGGCGAATGATAGTTATTGTTTTTTGTTAACACTACACCGAAGGAGTTTGACGCATGCATCTCATCTCAATTTGGTTATTTCGCTATTTTAAGAGTCTCTGGGGTGGATTTCTGTGGCTCGACCACGTGTGGAACGAGCAGATGGTGTCAACAGACACATTTTTACTCATTTTTGTCATCATGAAACAATAATTATTGTAATAAATTTTTCCTCGCGATCGAATACGAAAAAAATTCATAGAAAAACCTAACGAATTTCATCGAAAATTCTATTTAATTTTTAGTGAATTTCTATTGGGAATTCTATTAGTTTTTGCCTGATTCTCTTGAAGAATTACAGTTTTACTGTGCATTTTCAATAGAATCGGCCAAAAACTAAGTGGAAGGTCAATCGAAATCAAAATTTTTTAGTGAATTCGCTGGGTTTTTCTATGAAATTTTTTCGTATCTAATATTTCCGACAAAGTGAAGTTGAATGAGACATATTTCGTCCGAAGTTACAATGTGACAACCACACCCTCATTGTTATTCTGTTCGAAAATTCATTTCTTGTGTTTGAGTTTTGAACAGCCGACACGACAAGTAAACAGCAATTTCGTTGAATCATTCATGCAAATTTGTCGAACCAAACATGTAGCTGTGTTACAAATACTTGGTTCTTGTTTTACATCAAACAAACATTTTCTAGTACCGAAATACTCTCGCTAGTGCTAGAAATATCAATTTTTGCCATTATTATCCTTCTTTCATGTTTTTTCAATAATTTTCTGAATCTTTCCATAATTTATTTACCCCCTTTTCAACCGTTTCCTATCCTTTGTTATCATTTATTCATAGAATTCAGAAGATTAAAAAGCCTTTCCGTCAATTTTTGAGACCTGCGCTAGAAAAATAGTGTCTGAAATTAAAATTCATTGTCCCCTTGGTTGAGATGTTTGCATCTCCAAATTCAAGTTCTTTTTAGAATCTTAAGACCCGGGTGGATTATCTTTCGAGCGTTATTTCGATTTTTTTCCCATCTACATAATGTAAAATATATCACAATTTCCGTTGAATTTTACATCACGCAGGAGTCCCTAAAAATTATAATTGTACAATGAAAAAAAGTAGAAAAAAAACTGAACATTTTCAAAGAGCGTTTTTAATAAAGATTAAGAAATAAGTCCGATAGAGAGGAAATAGTGAATGGATAATTTATCATGGTAACTAACTATCTGACAGCCATTGACTACTAGACAAATGACGACCTACGAGCCATTAGATACATCAAATTATTAATTTGCAATTTCTTTACCATTGGGTTCAGCTTTTTTTCAACGTTTTTTTCATTGCATTGGAGATCATTTCAGATCATCAAAATAAAAAAAACAACCAAGATCACGTTCGAAAAATAATCCACTTGGGCCTGAAATTGCTATTTTTAGGTCCATGTGACAATGAAAATTATTAAACATTATAAAAAATTCAGGCAAACTATTGAAAATTCAACTAAATGTGACGTTTAATTTCTTCAAAATGAAAAAAATAATTTTATTGGATTTCCAGACAAATAAGAAATTGTGATGTTTACTTTTTTCAAGATAAAAAAAATAATTTTATTGGATTTCCAGACAAATGAGAAATTGAATTAATTAAATTAAGTCTTAATCAATGATTTTTTGTTCAAACTTAGCATGTCTCATTTATTTAAATGAAATAGAAGTTCTCGACCATAAGTTTTCAAATTATTTAAATTCCTTCTGGTCATTTTGAGACCCGCAGCAGTAATCAAACGCAAAATACAACGCACCTCATCCGTTTAACATGACGTATTGTCTTCTAAATTCAAATAAAAATGCACCTGAAGAGGCATACTTCGTGCATTCAAAACGTAGTACAATTAAATTACTTTCATTTTCATGTTTCATTACTGCTATCTCATTTATTTTTTCCAAACACTACATTCATTCCTTCTCTGACCCATATACCTGACAAATGCCCTAAATCAAGACGTCTCCAAGCCACTAGTTTTCATTGTGGTAATCCCTCATTCCACCCTTCACCCCTGATCCCTTCAAATTTCTTCTTTTTCGTTCCACACGCGAGTTAAAAACCACAGCCCCGACCCCAGCCTTCAACACGTTAAACCCCGTCCCCCAATTAATCCATAACCGCTATAATTAATTCCAGAAGCGCAAAAACCAGAAAAAAGACACATACCTGAACAGTGGTGCTCTGGTCCGAGAACGGGCTGCTGAAGAAAGTGGTGATGATGTTCATAAGACAATTGGTGACATAATTCTCAAGCGCCACGTCCGCATGATTCCTGTCGTGCGTGGCAGTGGCGATGAGGCTCATATCAACAATAAACGACTTCTCGAAGAGTGACCACATGTGGTTGGACGTGTAGATCTCCTTCATCTCCACCTCTGTGTCGATATAGCAATGATTGAGAAAATTGATATAAGCTTCCTTGACTTCAGGGAGACAGTCGGGATGGGACACCATGGCGACGATGTCGTCCAGTGGCAGCAGACTGTGGCATTTAATCTCTGTATTGACGTTCTTTCCCATCGTGCAGCAGGCCAACAGCTTCACCAGCTCCACGTGGTACTTCAGGGGACTGCTCTCGTCCATCCTCAGCCTCTCCGACCTCATCATCTCCACGAAGTGATTGAAGGACGCTCGGTCGTTGTAAAAAACAAGGACATCCTCCCCAGCTTGCACCAGCTCCTGCATCACCATCTCCTGGCACTTTCTGATAAACTGATTCTCAGCTTTAACTATTGTCTGGAGGAACTTCAGGTACTGCACGTGCTTTCCATGGGTCTCGATGCAGTGGACGAAGTGCTGGATTACTTTGGCACTGACTTCGTTGCAGAGAGTCGAGTTGTCCTGGAAGATACTGCAGACTGTCTGCGCCTCGCGTATCCCAGGGTTCAGGAAGAGGTCCAGCTGCTTGTGGAGGAGAATCTGGTTCTGCTGATTTCCGAGGCAGAAGTTTTGGAGGAAATCGTGGGCCAGCCTCATCAGCTCGTTCATCCTGATGTCCTCTTTGGCGTCGAAGGGCACTTGGAGGAGGTCCAGGACGATTGTGTGGACACCCACGTTCCTCAGGAGCCTTTGCTCGTGTTTGCGAGGCTTCACGCCACCACCTGGGATGCTCTGAATGCAGAGCTTGTTCATGCGGATGAGGATCTGCTGAATTTTTCGGTACTCGTCTGCCTGGTCTGGGTGCAGGGGGGGACCCACGTCCAAGTCGATTGCTGAACCCTTTTTGTCGGAGGAGGATAATTGAGGGGCTGGCTTCCTCGGGGTCGCGCCCGCGTCCTCTTCGTCGTCCTTTGCACTTTTCTTCTTCTTTCCTGCACTGTGCTCTTCCGTGGATTTTGACTTGTACACCCATAATTCGGATTTTTCTACTGATTGGCGGAGCACGTCGAGATCTGATTTTATTTGCTTGTAGGACTCGACGTCACTGTCTGATACCAGCAGTTGAACCTGCAAGAGCACAAACGTATACATTCAAAAATTTTACATTCTTCTTTCTCAGATTAAATTGCTAGTCTTTTGGTTGTTGCTTTCAGAAGGTTTTTAGTATTATTATAAGTCAATATTCATTCATTTTATATTGTCAGTTTTATATGCTGAACTGTTTCATTAATTTATTTTCATTTAGTCACTTAAGTGTTCTTCGTTTATTTATGCATTTACTTTCATTTCTATATCATGAGTAAATTTTTTTCTCCAGTAAAAAAGTTGAGATATAACATCATGTATGAAAAAATTCAATGGAAAACCTTAGCGAATTCGATAGAAAATTCGGTTTGTTCAGCATTTCAACAGTTTTCGATTTTTCTGTTTAAATTGTTCTCTTGAAATTTTTTCTAGTAAAATTATTACCATGGATTTTCTACGTTTTTTTCGCTATATCTTGTTTTGCTTTGTATTACTGGATCCGAGCGAAAAAAACTTGGAAAATTCAGTATCGAAGTGGTAAAACGGTACAAGTCAATTTTGACTATTGACCAGTTTTCAATGAATATCTCTGAATCTAAGAAAGATGGAAAAATTTTTGTTATAACCTTTTTTGTAGAGCCGATTGAGAGCTACAACAAATGCAATTGCGAACATTTCACGATCTCTCTTAGATTCGGATATATTTTAAAAAAACACAAATAAATTTATGATTGCATAAATGCAACTGGGAGATAAGTCGACTTAAATCGTTTTACCACTTCGCTACTGAATTCATGCCCAAGTATTCTTATAGAAAAACTTTCAAGAGAATATTCATGCAGAAAAATCGAAACCTATTGGCATTTACCTATCATCTATCTCATAGATTCAACGCAAAAAATAAATAGAATTCTAACTAGAATTCCTTAGAATGTTAATAAAATCCAAATAGAATTTCTAGAGAATTCCAGCAGATTTTTTTAGCGAATTCGCTAAGGATTTTTATTCAATTTTTTCATACGTGAAAGATTTTCGTTTTTTTAAAGAAAAAATCTCTTTTGCTTTTTTTTGTGGAATCACTCATCTGGAAAATTTCACCTGTTTGAAAGCCTGGAGCACCTCTTGCCTCTGGCTGAAGTGTCTGAATAATAGATGAAGGGCTCCTGACACCAATGGAGGATAGTCATGCATCGCTAAGTGGAGGAGAACCCTCAGGAACGTTCTGCCACCCTGGCCGTCGAGATCCAGAGCCACGCACTCATCACTGCAATATTTATTTAATTTATTAATTCATTTATTCAGAAATAAATGTATTGGACTCTTTACAATTTTAACAAAAATTGCTCTACACTTTCAGTGCGCAACGATATTCTCAATTCTTCAATTATCAAAAATGTCGGTTTCCCCTGTTCACTGTTTTCGGAACGAATCAACGTCTCGTGACATTTTTAAGTGCCTTAATTACCTGCTGCCGAATATCCCCTCCGCCTGGTGCCCAATCGACTCGAGATCAATCCCCTTCTGTCCGAGATTGACGTCCCCCGAGGACTTCTCATTCTCATCGAATTCCTGCTTGAAGATGCTCAGAAGACAGGAGATCCTGTAGTCCAACCGCACGTCCAGAATGAACTGGAGTATTTCGATTATCTTTAATTTTGTGTCCATCACTAGGGGATATTCCTTCTTGGTGGAGGGCTTGGGTCGGGGAGAGGAACTCCCTGCTATCACCTGCCCTGCTGGCCCCAGGGTCAGAGATGTCATCACTGCGCCCATGTCTCCGATGCATCGCAGAACTCCACCTTCGGCTAATTCAGATTTTTATTTTTTAATTTGTAAATTTAGGTTCCCGCACAAAATTCTTTGGGAAACAATTCTTTGTAAAAAATTCCTTTAAAAAAATTCTTTCGGAAAAGATTCCTTCGGAAATAATTTTTTCATGCAATATTTCCTCCTGTAAAAATGCCTCATGCAATAATTCTTTCCCAGAACCATGTGATAAACGTGTTTTGGACAGCATAATCTCTCTGAAAATCCCTGCATATAAACGCCATTTTCCCCCACTTAATCTACTAATATACAGGTGTTATTTCTGTGAATAAGTATTTCCATAGTTTTTTTTCTCAAATTTTTTTTTCCAAAGTAATTATTTGTCAAGTAATTTGTTCCAAAATAATTTATTCTGAAGGAATTTTTTCCAAAATATTTTTTCCAAAGGAATTTTAAGCGGACACCGAAAATTTAGTCGAGATAATGCGGACGAAAAAATTTCACAGAGAAACTAAGCGAATTGGGTGGAAATTCTGTTGAACTTCTATTAAGTTTTGGCCGATTCTATTGAAAAATTGAAGAATATGGAGAATATTTTATAGAACAAATGAATAGAATTTGATTTTTCTAGACAACTTATTCTATTAAGATGTTTTCTACAAAAATTCCTCAGCTTCAATTTTCGAAATTTTTCTGTTTGATTTTTCAAATGGAAAGAGAAGAAACATTGATGAAAAAAAATTGGTAAATTCATGGTGAGGAATTCCTGAAGAAAATATCACAATAGAAAAGGTTGTAGAGAAAGATGGATCTACTGATTTTTCTATAAAATTTTTTATTGTCCATTTTCTAAAAAAAAAAAATGCAGTAAAGTTGGGAATTCTTCAGTAGGAATTTAAAACACATCGACTGAAATTTTCTACTGAATTCACAAGGATTTTCTACGAAATTTTCACGTGCGTGAGGGTCTACGAAAGCCTCTAAATCTACTTCCGCCTCCACTACAATAAAATCTATCTCAAACAGAGTTGAATCTGTTATTTATGTACAGTACAAACAGATGGTGATGACCATTAGCTGATAAACGCATACCTTTTGTCTCAGGCTCCCTCTTTTCAGCTGAATGGAAATATTGACAAGCCAGTTAGTGAACTATTGTTAAACTATTTCCGCAAATATCGATTTTCATTAAAAAATACATTATAAAAAAGTGGAATTTACGTCAGAATAAAATGAGAGCTAGTGATCCTCTCGAGCAGTTTTCTTCCAATAAATTTCTGGGAATAAATAATAAATCTACGTAATAGTTTAACAGCATGATAACTCCGACGACTGATTAGTTAAACTTACAATCAATTTCACCTGTGGGTATCTTTCCATCGGTGTAATCATTCTCAGAGACGCAATCCAGAATACTCAATAGAGTTCTTGTTAATCTCAATAAGTCACTGAAGCTGTAGAATCCAAAATATATTAAATCACGTGCTAATTTCACCACCTGGAAATTAATGACATTTAAATGACGGTAATTTTTCAATTCAAATTATTAATTTAATTTTTTTAATTTGAGAATTCCACAGCTCTACCACGTTTTTTAAATAGAAAAAATCCAATAGAACCTATTTCTCAAAAAAAATCATTAGAATATCATATTTTTGTGTAACTTTTTGTATTGAGCCATTTTCTAGGGAAGAGTGGGGCAAAATGAAACAGTCGAAGAATTACTGTTTGACGCAATTCAAACAAAAAAAAATTTTTTGGCAATTTTTTTTATTATTAGGAGTACTGATGAGAATAATAAGATTCGTCTTATAATGCAATTGATTAGATTAGACCGATTACACTTTTCTGTTTCCATTCGAATGAAATTCAGCATCACATTTTCCTTCTTCCCCCTGTGGGTCTCCCCCTGAGCCTTCCTCTGGACTTTGGATTTTGCTGTTTCATTCTGATCTCAATTAATTGACAAAATCTTCTCCCGTCAAAACTTCTCAATAATTTTTTGTTCTACTCAATGGAAAAGTATTATTCTCATAAGTACTCTTAAGAATAAAAAGAGGTTAATAAAAAAAAGTTGTAGAAAGAAAATTTAATTTAAAAAATTTGGTTGCTTCAATTGCGTCAAACAATCATTTTTCGACTGTTTCATTTTGCCCCACTCTCCCCTATGAAAATTCCACTATATAAAAATTTTCTATTTTTCTTCTCTTTTCATTAAAAAAATCAAAAAAAAAAATAGAGAATTAGAGTTGAGGAGTTTCTACAGAAAACTGTAGAAAATATTTTTCTATAAAACTATAAAAAAATTGTCAAAAAAAATAGAAATTTACAGATTTTTTTCTATCGAACATTTCTAATCCAAAAATTCGCAGTCAAGTTTTTCAACAGAACCGACCAAAAACAAATAGAAAGTTCAATAAAAATCCAATCAATTTCACCACAAAATTCTATTGAAATTTTATTAGTTTTTCTATCGAAGAGTTCCGCAGTTTTCCTGCGCCTTTTCCCTCTCCAAAATAAATAAATCGCCCAAAATCACCCCAAACCCCCCAAATTATCACCTCAAAAGTGAGTTTATTCTGCTCCTGATCCCCGAAGGACCACATTTTCGCCACAACATTGCACAAATAGTCCTCCACAAAAATAATGGTCTGACTGAACTTCGCCCTGACAGCCTCCTTATTCTCATCCGGCATCTTATTAGTGTCATAATCATTGATGCTCATAAGCGAAGGGATCTCGGACCACAGCCTGGCATACTTGACAGGCGTCACCTGCTCCTGGGGATCCCTGTCGACATGCAGATGCAGCATGAGCCTGCAGAAAGAGGCCCTCAACTCATAAGGAACAGTCTCGTCCTCCATGCACTTTAAAATCAAATCAATCCCCAAATGCGGTGACAGACTATTGAGCGCCAGATACTGCCTGTTCAAGCACATATTGCTGAATAAATTCAACTGATGCCTGTAGTAATCAAGAATAGCAGCGTCCTCGATGTTCCCCATTTTCGCGCCCCTAGACAGCTCCCCCAGTGACATTGATCTCTTCCCATTGTTCCACACGAGCAGTACCTCCAGCTCTTCTAAAATTGTTATTCTCGCCTCCTCATTCTCGTGCCTCTCATCCATCTCCTCTTCAACCTCCACCTGAGTCTTGAACATTCTCGTCTCAATCAAGATGTCCTTGTTCTTCTCACTGAGAACACTCTTGCAAATGAGCTCCTGGGTGACCGCAATGGCCTTCTTATTCGATATGCAGAGATCAGACAGATAATCGAGAAACCGAGACTCCCAGTTGAACATGTTCTTCCTGACTAGACCCACAAAAGTCTCGATCTCCGCAGCCGTTATGTGCTTCTCCAGCAGCTTTCTGTTGTTGTGCAGGAGAGCTGTGATTGTGTCCTCAGCGAGAATGTCGTAGCCTATCTGCTTCTGCATGAATGCAAAGTGCTTTGCTATGTACTCCTGGTTCTTTCGGTAATCCTGCTGGGAGAGTCGCAGGATCCTGTAGCACAGTCTGAACATGTACTTGTAGGGGGCATGCCTCGGGTCGTTGAGCTCCTCGATCCGCAGGAAGGGCCCCTCCCCAGCTGCTGACTCCAGGAATGGCGCCTGGAGAATTTTGAACAACTGCCCGAGAATGTACTGCTCTCGCAGCAATTTCTGTCGGTCTCTCACTGCATTTGTCACTATCAGTTCGAGTGCCTCGGACTTGTTCTGCTCGTTCTCCAGGCCCGCAATGAAATAAACGATGTCCTGAAGTAGACTCGTGACTGCTCGTCTCTCATTGTGGGATATTGTTCCCCTCTCCAATTTTCCACTTATCGCGGCCAGCACTTTGCACGCGTCGTTGGCGAAGTCAAGATCACGGACTTCGACGGGGGAGACTGAGCGCAGGGCGAAGGCCTCTTTGTCCTCCTTGTTGATGGCACAGCCGACCTTCGACATCACTGGCTTCTCATCGTCCTTGTCTATGGGGACGCTTGTCGAGTGGACCCAGGTGTTCGTGCAGATGTGGTGCAGGCGGACGAAGGATGATTGCGGGACCAGACTGTCGCCACGCGTCAGGGTGGTGGGGTCCAGCTCGAAGAGGGAACTTATCTCGTTGCTGTGGGGGACTGACACCAGCCGGTAGACGGCTCCTGGCGGCTCTCGCTTACCTTTGGAACAGATTAATTTTTACCATTTTAACTAGTTTGAGGATGTCCGGGGACTTTGGCTACTTTTTTTGGCAGAGCTTTTGGATGAGCCCCTTTTCACTGTAAATTTTCGGACGTTTTACAATGATTTTATTATTTAAACCTTGCGGGCCTGAAGGGGAATCAGAATATTAACGTTAGAGAACATTTTAAAAATTAAAAAAAAATGAGAAAGCTTACTTTTGGCAGAAAATTGATGAAATAATTGAAAAATTGAAATTTTTGAAATTTACGAGCATTTTGTGTTAACAATTTTTTAAAAATCAATTTTTCACTAGAAAAATCATTTGTTTGGAATCGTAACAAATTTATTCATATTCAGAATTTTACCGAAATCTCTTTTATACCTTAAAGAATAAGGTTTCCGAAAGTTTAAACAATTTCAATTATTTTTCTTATAAATAACGAGGGTTTAAAAAAACAATAATTCTATGCAAAATATAATTTGAATGACGCTGAAAAATTCTAAATCACTTAATTCATTGCATTCTCATAAATTATTGAGTTTTTCTACCTTCATATGTTGTTGATGAAGGCAACAATGACTATTTGAATCAAATAAGAAATAATTTCACGAAATTTCCAGTTTAGAGTCCGTTCATTAGTTAATCTCTGCTGAATATTCTAGATTAGAAAATATATTTTTCATAGAAAATATATTTTTTCATATTATATGTTTCTAATTTCCTATCATTCATTTTTTCTAGCTATATGAATAGAAAAAATTTAATCAGAAAACATCTTTTTTCTAAGCAACATATAAAAATTGTTCTAAGGATCTGAAGCAAAGATTCTCCTAATTCCCAGGTTGAAGGACATCCCTCGCGAAATAGATCGCTGCCAAAGAAGTTAACACCAATTTAATCACAGAGAATGCCCAAAAATTCTCCATTCTCACCTTTTATTGTCTCTCGCGGCTCGTCCGTGTCGATCTCAGCCGCTAGATACTGCCCGGTGGCCAAATGCTTGAACCTGAACAAGGAGTTCCAGTGGCCGGCGCCTCCCCTGCAGGGATCGTGCTGCACCACCTCCACCTCCCACAGGGCTTTGCTGCTGGTGGCAGCAGTGGCACTAGTTCGTCCCGTTGTCCTCAGGAAGACGTGCTGCTTCTTCTTGTACTCGTCCATCGTCAGGAACTTCTCCTGCTCCGCGTGGAAGAGTCTCACCACGTCACCACCTTTTAGAATCTCCTCCTGGTTCTCCCGGTGCTCCATGAAGAGCGTCACCTTCCAGGAGGTCGAGGCATTCACGACGTTCACCTCCTTGCAGCCCGGATTGTCACTCAACTCGTAGTTCGCTGCTACGTGGAGACCCTGTCTGCCTGCGTTCACAGGCTCCATTATCACTTTGTCACCGACTACAACGCTGTCACCGTCGCTTCGCAGCTTGTAGAAGGGCATTATGTACAGCCAGGAGCCCTCATTGCCGTTCGCGTCCAGGTAGACCCTCATCGCGTTCTTCTCGAGCAAAGCCGGCAATCTCTTGTTCACTGTCAGGAATTTGTTTGATTTGAGGTGCAGCAGCTGGAATATTCAAAATTCTTTTGAACTCTCTGAGTATTTGCTTTGCGATCTTTCGGGAATTATTCGTAATTTGTTTTTTTAGGTATTAATAGGGAAGTGATTGAACGAGATGAATCAATTCTGGGGAGATGACTTCTGGAATTTTTCCACTTCACTCGGGAATATAATTTCCACTCTCAATAGTTTGTTTATTTGGCAAATATATCTCGTTTGAGGGAGTCGTGCGCGCGCGAAAAAATTGGAGAGAAAATTCTGTGGAATTTGCATTGAACTTCTGTTGAAGAATTCCGCAGCTTTAGAAAATGTCCTATCGAATAATTTATAGAAAAAATCTGTAGAATTGTGTACTTCTTCCACTGAGATATTTTCCGTAGGAATTCCTCGACACGAACATTCCAAGTTGTTTCATAAACAGAAATGAGACGAAACAATAGAAAATTTGAGCCAAGGAATTTCTATAAACAATATGTTCATAGAATAAATTGTGTAGATAAATCGAGTTTTGTTGATTTTTTCTGTAGAATTATTTCCATTGAAGCTTTCCATTGACAACTATTATTATTACATAATAATAATTTGATAAAATTGTTAATCTCCAATTATCAGTTTCTGTCGTTTATTCTATTCATTCAATCAAAAGACAAGGATAGAAATCGAATTTATGGGTATTCTTTCATTATTAAAAAAATCGATTCTAAACCTTTCTGGAGACTTGGGAAATGTAATTTTTTTAGTTCTTTCCGCCCACTTTTTTGCATTTTTTAAATTCTTTCTCGCTGAAATATTGATATTCCTCTAGTACCTGAAGAAAAAAAGTCATTTAAAATCCATTTTCTAGCCGATTATCCCTTACTGATTTTTTTATATTTTCTTCTTATAATAGTATAATAGTATATTATAAAATATATTATTATAAAAAGGAACGAGGAGTACTGATATTCTTTTACCATATGAAGGAAAAATTTAAAAATTTTTTCAGGAATACATAGAGACTTTTTTCCATTATATACCCGAATAAGATTTCGAATGACTTTGCTTTCAGTGTGTGTTTCGGTAAAAAAACATTTTTCATTTATCTTTAACATAATTCCTCTTCGTTCAATGTTATAACTTGTGAATTAAGAAAAAAAAAATATATATATGTATAATAAAAATAAGAATGGATAAAATTAGTTTATTATTATTAATCTAATTGTGAAGACGGAAATGGAAATAAAATAAAATAGTATAAACGAATCTAGTGACGGGCACGAAGCGTCCACTCGCTAGTTCAATAGAAATCAAATAGAATTTTGAGAAAAAACTAATAAAAAATTCAATAGAAATCAAATAGTTTTTCCACGAAAATTTTTTCTACACGGTTGAACAAACAATAATTCACTCTTCCAAGAGTTTATTTACTTGGGAAACATGTCGTTATCTCTGAAATTACCTGGACAACATTGCCATAAGAGACAACACTCCCCAGCAACTTCTTATTTTCCGTTTCATTCTGCTTCTTCTCAATTTCAGCTGCATGATGAAGTCGTTTTAATAGGACGGCGTCAGTCGATGAGCTTCCGCTCTGTTTTGCTGCTTTCCAGAACTGCTTCTGGGCGGAATACCGGTTCATGGGACATATTTTGAAGAGGCAGTCTAATGAGAATAAAATGAATGAAAAGTCAGCTCGCGTTATTTATTCGGCTTAACGAGTCGTGAGAGATTACCTCTGAATTTTTTCGGTGGATTCGATAAGTCTCCGGCCTCCGGGCATACGACGCATCTGTCGTCCACCAATCTGCGGAGAATTTTTGCTTTTTTAGTGCGGGAAACCTTGGGAGCAACTATTTGGAGTAAAAAAATTTTGCTGGAATCTCGATGCTACGGATGCTTATTTATCCTGCCTACGGCCTTGGGGATATCGTAAGCTGATTGTAAGCAGAAAATATGGAACGCGGGGCATGGGTACCGAGAATACAATGGCTTTATTTTAACGCTCTGAATATCACTTTGTCTTAATATTTGAAGCCGCCGGGCGAAGTATTTAGGAAATAATGAGAATGAATGGCATTGGAAAATAAAATTGTGTTGTTGCTCTGTGAACTAGTTCTGGAAGTCGATATTATTAAGAAAAAATTTCAGTTTTTAATTTTTTGCTGAAATATCAACGAATTTTCGGCTTTTAAAATTAAAAAATTTACGGAAAAATCGATGGAAATTTTTAATTTCGGTTCAATTATTCCGTATTCTGTTCGATTATTCTATGAAAATTAACAGAAGTCAGGTAAATATATTACTGAATTCATGTTTTTATTCAATATTCAAATGATCTGGGAAATTCCTATCTTCCGGCGGCTAAAAATTTAGAATTTCATTGAAAGTCCAGAATTTTGTCCCCTACGAGGAATTCCATATCACTTTCCTAAAAATATTAGTAAACTGCATTTCACAGTAATAAATTTTTTGTTAAAATTTCAAAGACTTTTCAACTTTGAAAATTCAAAACTTGCGAAAAAATCGATGGAAACTGTAAATTTCTGTTCAATTATTCCCAGAAAATTAATAAAAATCCTCGAAATTCCAATAAATATATTCTTGAATTTATGCCTGTTCGAAAATCCTCGTTTTCCTGCTGCTGAAAAATTTTGAATTTCACTAAAATTCAAGGATTTTTTCCCCTAATTCGAATTTAAAATCACTCCCCTGAAAATTACGAGTCAACTATCCCTCCCTGTCTTTTTCTTTTACCAATTAGATTCCCACAGTTCCCACAAACTTCTAATTGACAATAATAATAATTTCCCAATGGTTCGAGAAAACGAAAGAGAAATCGAATTTCAATTTTAAAGAACTCGTAAAATGGGAGAATGGTGAAACCTTTCAACGAGTTAATGGCATCCGAGGTAAAGACCGCCCAGAAGATTTGAAATGTTGGCCCAGGCACCGACGCTGGATCGATATTAGAGTGTCACCTGGCCGGGTTACAAAGCGTAATAAGAAAAAAATGAAATAAGCCTCTCTAGTGCATCACAAAAGGGAAAAAGACGCTCGAGAATCTTCAGCGGAAAAAACTCGTACAAATCCATTAAACCAAATCAGATTCAGAATACCACTTTTTACGTTCAGTAATGCGTATATAAAGTCGCTTTATCGGAATGCCAGAGGGAAAGTAAAAAATTCGATTATATCGTCAATCACTCGGGGAAATTTGTCTGTCGGTGTCCCCGTGGTGACGGGTCAGCGAGCATTTGCATTTCGACGTTTCATCGATTTCCCCGGCTGTCAAACCGAGCGAAACCCTTCGCGAGGTGGGACAATCTGTCCTCGATGGGCAAATGAGTTTGTGGAAAGCTGAAGAATAAAAGGGAAGACGTTGGGGCAACGATTATCAAATCGTGCCAATGCGATTGCTTTTCGGCGTCATGCGCCAGTGGTTTCAAGTCATGTGCAATGACCGTCCCTTCGTCGAGGCTGCGGTGATTACTGTTCCGTGGGGATTCACGCATGGAAAAATTTAATAGAAAACCTAGCGAATTCGATAAAAAATTCTATTGGAATTCTATGGGGTTTCTATAGGATTTCTACTGGAATTCTATTTGTTTTTTGCGCTGATTCTACGGGATATTCAATAAGCAAAAGTCAGCAGATTTCGAATTTCTGTTTGATTTTTTCTCTTCAATTTTTTCTATTAGAATTATTGGGCACACAATTTTCGAAATTTTTTCCGCTGGATTTTGTTTTGTTTTGCATTGTAATATCCAAGTAGAAAAAACTTGGAAAATTGTGCGCAAACATTCTTACCTATAGAAAAAATCTCAAGAGAAAAATTTAAACAGAAATTCGAAAGCTATTGACTTCTTCTTATCGAATATCCAATAAAATCAGCGCAAAAAATAAATAGAATTTTTCAATAGAATTCCAATTGAAATTCTATAGAAACCCCATAGAATTTTCAATGATAAAATTCCTTGAAATTTCACTTATATTAAATAGAATGAAAAAAATTAAATTTTACGGACTGGGAATTTTTAGGAAAGTGACATTTGAATTCGATTTAGAATTTTCAATGAGAACATGAATATTCGGTACCAAATAACGCTGAATGTTCAATTAATCGACAAATCAAGAATATATTCACTTAAATTTTTATGATCTGTATTAATTTTCGTGGAATAATTGAACTAAAACCTACAGTTTCCATTGATTTTTCCACAAAATTTTGCATTGAGTGGAACTACCTAATACAAATTTCAAAAAATTTTTAAGATATTTGCCCCAAAAAAATTTTCCTTCAATAAATTCAGTCATCGATCTTCGATGAATGTTTTTGGCACGCCGAAAAATTTACTTTAAAAAATGAGATCAACAAATGACAAGATAATAAATTACTCTCCTTTCACAGAATCAAATTTTTTTACATAAACAAAACATCACAAAATGCAACTGAGGATAAATGAGACAAGAATAATAAAACTGTAATCGATAATGAAATCTCTATTAATTTTCGTGGAATAATTGAACTAAAACCTACAGTTTCCATTGATTTTTCCATCTTCGATGAATGATTTTTAAACGCGGAAAAATTTATTATAAAAAATGAGATCAACATCTTTTCCAGCGGAATTCTCGGACACTATCATTTCCGGTCATTTTCATATGCAAATGACAAAATAATAAATTACTCTCCCTTCACAGAATCAAAATTTTTCACATAAAAAACATCACAAAATGCCCCTGAGGATAAATAAAACAAGAATAATAAAAGGGTAATCGATAATGAAAATACAGCGTCAAGGTGATGATGTTATTTCCAGCTCGTGAACTCCACGGGACAGCGGGGGGAAAAAATAATAAAAGAAAATTACACCGCAATTTGTAAGCGTCCGGAAGTACTGGAAAGTGGGCTTATGCCCCCGGTCGAAGAAATACGAGGTATATTTCGTCACACAGACGTTATCCAGCCCCGAGATCATTAAGAATAATTGAAAAGGGAAGTGGAGCTTGAGTAAAGAGTGAAATTTATTTTTCGAATGACTTTATATTTAGATGGAGTCATTAATCCAGAAATAAGACATCGCGAATTTCCATCGGTTCGCGTCGTATGGAAAATCCCATAACGCCATTCTATACGGAGAGAAATGTCCAGTAAAAATGACAGAACTCACAGTTCGCTCACCGCACGAAGAGAAATATTCAATAAAAATTACGTATTTTTTCCGTAATTCCAGAATGAAATTTGGTTGTAGGAAATTTTACGGAACTGTCACGGAATTTTTCCAGAGAGTTCCGTAATGTTTATCTGAATCTCCAGTGAAAAATTACGAAACCATCACTTAAAGTAGCTTTCAATGATTGAAAACTACAAAAAAATTGCAGAAAACTCGATTAGATTTGGAATTCTAATTTTTTTCTCAATTTAATTATCGTTTTGGTTTTTCAAAGAAGAAATGTTTAAAAATCAGGATTTAACCCAGTGTCTTATGTGAAAATCAACATTTCCATTGTAATCAATGATTAAAATCTGAATTTTTTTTCATTAGATGTGAAAAAAATCAAGATTTTTTTTCACACCTCATAAAAAAATAATCCACCGTTTTGCAAACAAGCTTTATTATTTATTTATAATAGGGAAATGTTTGAAAAAATATCAATATTTTGCGAGAGTCGATTCCGTAATCGGTGAGCGAATTGTGAGTTCGGTCATTTTTACTGAACATATCTCCTCGTGCGATTACGGAATCGACTGAGAAAATTTAAGTGACAGTATCGTAATTTTTCACCGGAGATTCAGTTAAAAATTACAGAACGCTGTGGAAAAATTCCGCGCCAGTTCCGTAAAATTTCCTACAACCCCATTTCGCTCCGGAATGACGGAACACATACGTAATTTTTATTGAATATTTCTCTCCGTGTATACTGGGGATACCTATTTTATTACGATGGCAGAATGTCTCGGGTCTATAAAAAAATTGCAGCGGGTTTATATTATGGTCTTTTTAACCCTCTATCATCACGTGCGTTGAGCCTTCAACTTCATCGGTCCGCACTACGGTTTTATGTACAGTAGGGCGATACGACAAAGTACATGAACAACTTTGTATTTTTTTTTCATCAACCGATGGGTATAAAAATAAACAGCGGTGTTACCTAGAGGAAAAACACAGTTGCTCGTAATTTTTAGTTCCATTCCACAGTATGGAGAATACCGAGTGGACAGAAAAACCGGTGGGTAATGTGACACCCGAGGATTGTTTCGGTATTACGTATTTCTTTCGTAAATCGTAGTCAACATTTTCTTCGCGGGAGATGCGATTTAATAACGAGATGGAGGAGGGGACTGGTGATTGCTGTGTGCAGTGAATTGATTTCGACTCGTTTCAATTGTTTGGGGAGCATTTGGGGTCAACTCGGGGGAATTGAGGAGGATTGCTGTGAAATCGTTGTCTTGGCGGGCAGAAAGTGTTGAGGGATAGGAAATAGTCGTATATTATTTCCCTGAATTGAAAATATGGAAATTGTTAATTAAAGAGAAAATGTTTCTCAAAAATTAAAAAATCCACGCATGAAAAAATTCAATGGAAAACCTAGCGAATTCGATAGAAAATTCTATCGGAATTCTATAGGAATTCTATGGGGTTTCTACAGGAGTTCTGTTGGAATTCTATTGAAAAATTCTATTTGTTTTTTGCGCTGATTCTGTTGGGTTGTTAATAAGAAAAAGTCAATAGATTTCGAATTTGTGTTTGAAATTTTCTCTTGAGATTCTTTCTTTAAGAATGCTTGGGCATCAATTGTCGAAGTTTTTTCCACTCGGATTCTGTAATGCAAAATAAAACAAAATCCAGAAAAAGCATAGAAGATTTGTGCCCAATAATTGCTAATAGAAAAAATCTGCAGAGAAAAATTTCAACAGAAATTCGAAATCTATTGACTTTTTCTTATCGAATATCTCATAGAGTCAACGCAAAAAAATATAATTTTTCAATAGAATTCCAATAGAATTTTCTAGCGAATTCGCTGGGTTTCCTATTGGATTTTTCATACGTGTTTACCTCAATTTTCTTAATTTCTATCAATTTTCGTGCAATAATTGAACTGAAATCTACAGTTTTCATTAATTTTTCCATCAAATCTCAAATTTTCAATCACGAAATCCCTTGAAATTCCAGGAGAATTGAAACACGATAAGAATTATCAACCCATGTACCGGAAATTTCAACCAAAAAATCCCTCACGAACATTCATGAATAAAAAAATATTCCCCAAAGTTACTATTCTCAACTCAATAATTCTCTTCCCTCACCCCTCAAAAAATCCATAACTTCCCCAACATAATATATTCAAAGTGCCCAACGTGTTTTCCCACAAAAGGGGATCTCCAACCCGAACATCATTAACTAGTAGTTAATAACTACTGGTCTGCCCCCTCCCCCACACCTGCAGCTCTCCCCAAAAATAATATTGATAATTTTTAATAATTTTCTCTGGCAGTTGCTACATAAAAAGAACAAAAGATCATTCCACTGAGTGAATTGGTCGAAACTGGCAGATTGATTTTCTCTTATAGTGCAATTCTCTTGGACGAAATTTGGATGGAATAATTCTCTCCCGAACACCACTTGAGCTTCAAAATTAATCAGGTATTTTCCTCAAGGTTCCCTGCACACAAACGAAGTCTTCAAGTTTTTCCAGAAAAATCGCTTGTGCTTCGCACTCGTGATTTTTTCTCCTGAAAAACTTGAATTATCAGGAAATAGCGAAGGGTGGGGTAAAACGGGCACTTTAGACTTTTTTAAATTATTCATAACTCAGAAACAAATTGATCAATTGAGCTCAGTTAAGGCTCGTCACGAAGGGAAAGAATTGTTCTTTGTATTGAAAAAAAAAATTTCAAATTTTATCGGCATTTCAACCCCTCATTAACATTTAAAAAAAAGTCAAAAGTGTCCGTTTTACCCCAACCGCCCCTATCCGATAATTTAGAAGCTCTCATGGTATTACACATGATAAATCCCGATCACTTACCCCAGAGTGGATAGAAATCCGGAGACGTTGCCCTCGGCATAGAGACTGACAATATCCCCGAGATGCAGAAAGCTCGCCGAGCCGAGGATCTCCCCCATTTCGAAGCTGGTCGCCAGAGTTGTTCGCTTGAATTCAGGACCGTGCAGGCCCCTCAGACCAGTGCATCATTCATGATATCTGCAGAGTTAAATCATAAAGCACAATAAAGAATTGAACGCGATCAAGTGCTCCTCCGATGCTACCCCGAGGCCAAGATGTAGGTCAAATCGATCCGCTGATAGCGTTTCGTATCATCTATCTCCGAGGGAGCAACACGAAGGGGGATGAATCGTTGTTTATAATTATCAAGAGAATAGGGGAGCAACTTATTGATCCTCATTGTCATGGAAAATAAAATAAAGTCATTGGATGAGAATCCAATCGCCCCTTAACCTTTCGCTAATTAAAAATAGGGGTTTGTCTATCGTTCCGTGAGCTAAATGCGAAAATAATGAAATCACGCACGACAAAATTTCATACAAAAATTTCATGAACTCAATCATTCTATACAATTCAGTGGCGAAGTGGTCAAACGGTTTAAGTCGATTTTGGCGGTTGGCAATGAATATCTCGAAATCTAAGGGAGATAGCAAATTTTTTCTCATAACCTTTTTAGTAGCACTCAATTCGCCCTACAAAAAAGGTTATTATGAAAATTTCGCTATCTCCCTTAAATTCGGAAATATTTCTGGAAAATTCAACTAAAGACTAAATTGACTTAAACCGTTTGACCACTTTGCCACTGAATTTATCCTACGGAACTAGTTTTTATAGAAATTCCTCAGCTCAAATTTTCTGTGTTGTTTTTAAATTTTCCAATAAAATAGAATTCAACTGATTTTTTAAATGAAATAGTTCCTACCGGACGTTTACAATGAAAGAAAAAACATTAAAGCTGAGAAATTAATCACTAGAATCAGTCGAAAACTATTAGAATTTTCAATAAAAATCTAATAAACCTGTTTACAAAATTCGCCAGTTATTTCTCCAAAATTTTATCGTCCGTGATATAAAATTCGATTCCGTAAACATGATCAAAAGTCGTCTTGACATTTCCTCAAATGACTAATTTATGTTAATTACGCTCCGGGATTAACGAAGAATTGAGAGACGTAACATCTCTCGTGCATAATCCCATTTTTGATAGCGACTGATAACGAGATTGATAAGTCTCCTCAAACTACACCGCATAGTTCGGTCATAATAAACTCCTCTCGGTCACTGACATTTTTTTAAGAATTACGCAACACGGTTGTGTACACGTGAGTCCCGCCGGATATTTCGTGTTTTTTTTCTCTCTCTCTGGTCTCCATTATTTTCGTTTTATCGTCAACAAACGGCGGAATATGAAGTTTCAAAATGACGAAACTCCAGCGGGAATTGAACTCCAGTTGAATTGCTCTCGCATTTCGGTATTAATTAAAGCACGACGGATGCTGAACAATAGAGTATTGGAAACACTCAGTGCACTAGACAGCTTTATTGTTACAACGGACAGACACTGAAGAGTTATTATCGAACAATCATCGTGCAAGTTCAACGAGACGCCGATAATTCTGGGCACTTCGTGCACACCTCGAGCTTCTGTTGGTGTACAATTTTTTAAAATTCATGTGCAAGCACTTTTGCACTTGAAAAATATTCCCCCACGACTGTACGAAGCTGAAACTATCGAAAGATTCGACAGCAGAAGATTTGTCTCAGGCGAATCTAGGGGTGTACAAATGTTTTTAAGTAATGTACAAACTCTTTCGCGCAAAAAAATATTTGTACACACGATTATTTGACTCTCCTCCACTTGAAAACCCCCTTGGATTGAATTTTCCGCTGACGAATATTCTAATTTCAGCTTCATCACGACTGTCTGACCCTCAGACCCTAAATTTCTGTATCCACTGTCGAATATCCGCTGGTCTCAGCTGCATGGGAATTTGCACTCTGCGTCTGATTGAAAACTTCCGTTTTCACTCTCGCTTGAAACTAAAACCGATGAACCAATGCCGAATTTTTCTACTCACCGCGGCATTCCTCCACACCTCACTACTCATTTCTACGTACGTCAATAATAACGAATGAATGGTTGTGAATAAAAATCATCCGACTATGCGATTGCACTGTCACATGAGAAACTTGGATGGTGAAAAAAAAATGTCGACCTCCTTCGGTCTTTTTACTTTGACCGATGGACTCTTTTCTCCCAGTTTTCGTAACGCTATACCGGCGTGTCAACGAAGGGACTTAACTACTTGTCCGTTCATTTTTTTCCCTCTCTACTGCCACCGCCAGTGGTTTTTTTAAAAAGAATTATTCCAAGTCTCAGCGTATATTCAAACGTGTACGTGCTATTCCCCCTTCCTTCGTTGATGTCTCGAAACGTCTTACCGAGGCCGTGCATTTGACAAGCTCAATTCGTAATTCAATGCGATTTTTCCTCGCTATTCTCTCAATTGTTTTTTTCCTTAGAGATACGGCCAATTGTTAACGAGTTTTTAATTAGCCATCCGCGGTTCCGCGTACTCCGCGCTGATTTATGTTTATCACCTTGAACAACTCACACAGTGACGGGGAGATAAACAGAAAGTAAATTGCATTTGAAAGGAAGTACAGAGATGCAAGTTTTGTTTGGTCAAGGGATTTCAAGTTTATGCTAACACTAACCATACGGTGGTCCCGACATTACTGGGCGAACGTGGTGGATCCGAGCTGCTCCAGCAGTTGTGGGTGGTGGGACGGGGGAGGGGGTATGCTCCAGTGACACCCAGCGGTCGATTCTAGAGATTTCAAATTTAAGGGGAGACTACTGTGAGTTTTAAAAGTCGTGGATTATTGGAGTGAGACTTTTCATTCGTTGAGAATCGATTATATAGATCTGAAAACGAATAATTAGTGCAAAAAAAAATTTTTTCGCCACTAGGCCCGATAAACCGCGGGCGGTTAAATCGCGGTTCGACACACGGCCGTGGGAACTTTCCTACCTCATATGATTACAGAACAGTTCCTCACGGCCTAGTGTCGAAATGTACTATTTCATTGTTCGTTTGCCCGAAAACGCTTAAAATACTAAAAACAATCCAGGGCCTCCAATTTTTGAGCGACAAAAGATTTTTTTTTTCTCAAAATTTTTAGAAAAATGTGCGAAACAGCAGATACGAGCCAGTTTTTTGGAATTCGACTCCTACACAGCTGATTTCAGCTTTTTTTATATAACAAAATTCACTATTTGTGTAAAAAAATACAAAAAACGCAAATTTAGCCATGTAAGAGGCGAATTTAAAAAAAAAAGCTCGTAATTGTTATTCTACATATTTTTCCGAAAATTTTGAAAAAAAAAAAATACTTCGTAGCTCAAAAATTGGAGGCCGTGGACTGTTTTTCGCATTTTAAGCGTTTTCCGGCAAAGGAACAATAAAAAAATTTTTTTTGCAGTAATTATTCATTTTTAGATCTATATAATCGATCCTCAACGTATGAAAAGTCTCCCTCCAATAACCCGCGACTTTTAAAACTCACAGGAGTCTCCCTTTAAGGGGTCTCCTCAGTAGCGCAAAACGGCGATAGACGCGCGGGTGAGTGGAGCGTAAAATGGTTAAGTTAGTGAGGTTATTTTCGAGAGAGACGAAACATCAAACATGGCGTGCGTTGGATAGTGACAGACATCACACCAGTTACTTTTATCGTTAATTGCTTCAACAAATTACTGGCAAAACTCGATGAGACTTCATTCCCTTATTTTTGAGAGTTTAATATAAATTAATATAGCTTTCTTTGTTGGCTAGCACATTGTCAACAGGATGAGGGGTAAGGGACAAAATTTCGTTCTTAAAGCCCATGTATAAGCAGAAATTCGAATGATTAATTGAAAACGAATGAAACGATAAAACTACTCAGAGTTTTTTTTACAATTTTCCTTTTACCATTTTTGATTATTATATTACATGTTCAATTCGCTAGCAGATTGTCGTTTTGTGGCGAAAATTACTGAGGAGACCCCTTAAAGCACGAGGCTTTCGCGGGAATCGGCGTTCCGGGAAGAGTATTTCGGAAATATTAGATCGTGCTGCATTTCCCACACCCTCCGCCGCGAATGAGTTAATCTTGGTTTCATTCATGGGGCTGTAGAGTTTATCATCGAGTTGATAATTATTCGGTTTGGTGAATTAGGGGGGATTGAAGGCAGTGAATGTATTTATGAGTGAAAATTTTTAGAATGAAAAATACTTGGGGTGGAAGTGATGGGGATAATAAAGTGGGTAAGGGAATGGAGGAGTGAGTGAATGGGTGAATGAATTGTTATTTGTGGGAATGAATGAATAAATCAAGAGATAATTCATTTCTATAGAATATCGTCAACTTTTGAGTTTTCAGGTTTTGTTTTTATGAATTAAGAAGTTTGTAAATAACAGGTAATTGTATATTTACACTGTATTATATTTTTTTATATGATTTGACTCTGTAATTTAATAATTTGGTGAAACAATACTTCTGCGATTTGTATTCTCATGGAACAGGATTATTTAAATACAAAAATTGATCAATATTACAAAATAATATTTTAGTCTTTATTACATTTTAAAATTGGAATAAGGATGATGATCGCAATAAGTTGAAGTAAATAAATGGAGGAACGAGTGAATAAATTAATAAATAGTTATTTATGGGAATGAATGAACAAATGAAACGATAATTAATTTCTATAGATGTCTGTCGATTTTTGAGTTCTTCAGGTTTTTGTTTTTATGAATTATAAACTTTGTAAATAAATGTAAATAGTATATTTGTACTGGATCATATTGTTTGTAATGATTTAATCCTGTTACTTAATAAATCAATGAAAAAATACTTCTATCATTTTGTATTCCCATAGGACGTGAGTATTAAAATCATCATTCTCTCATCATTCCTATAAAAATAATATTTTAGTTGATATTTGAATTTTAAAAAACGAATAAAAATGATAATGATGATAATCAATTGAAGTAAATAAATGAAAGAATAATAATTTATGGGAATTTGTGAACAATGAAGAGTCGATTAATTTATATAAAATTCTGTCAACTTTTGAGTTTTTCAGGTTTTTGTTTTTGTCATAATGAACTTCATGAATAACTAATGATAATCCTGTAATCATTTAATCCTGTAATTTAATAATTCGACGAAAAATACTCCCGCAATTTATATTCCCATTGGACTCCATGATTTAAATCCCAAAATGTGTCATTTCTACACGAATAACATTTTAGTCTGTATTCGAATTTATAAAATCGTAAGGATGAATTTATTCATAATTTAGAATATGGATATCAGTTTTATAACATTTTCAATAATTAGCGAACTGATTGAATATTCAAATTAATTTATGACTTTGATTTATTCCTTTCATACCGAATTAATTCGAAATATGAAACAAAAAATCTGACATTCCTGCAATTTTAGGCCTGATGTCTTAATTTCACATGAAATTCGATCTGTTTCAATAAGTTTATGTCCCATTCAAAAAATCCATAGAATTTATATTGCAATGGGACATAATTATTCGAATACAAAAATTTAAAAAAGTTACGAAACTGTATTGCAATTAAAAAAAAACGACAGAGATAAATTTTTTGATCATATAATTATTTTCACGATGAATATGATTTTAATAAAAAACCAAATTTTTTTATTTTAAATTATTGTAAACAGTTTCATTATTGTAAAATAATTTTTTACAATAAAAAAACTGTTGAAATATTCTAATGAATTCATTACTCCAATTATCCACCATTTGCACCAATTTAACAATCTGAAAAAATTAAAATAAACATATTACTCACATGACTAAAAATTCACGTATTCTCATTATAAATAAACAAAATTAAAAAAAAACGAATTCAAAATACGAAAAAAAAATTATATTTCTAGGAACATTAGGTCTTCCCCCTAGGGACAATTCCCTAGACCCACACCTGATGTATCGATTGTAATCATATGACTGCTCATCTGGGCGTAGTGAGCGCAGTTAAATCACCTCTTCCAGCTCCAAAAACAATAACTCGTGCATTTTGGAGCACTCCGAAACAGTCAAAAGTATTAATCGTACAAATTGAATCATCATGAAAGTCTGTGGCCCCAAGTACGCCCTGTGCGGTCTTATCATCTCTGCCTGGGGCATCGTTCAATTAGTAATGAATCTTAACCTTCAGCATCTCCTAATTTCTCGAGCAGTCGATCCTAGGCCACTGAAAATTCACGTCTGTTATTTCTATTTTCAGCTCCTCATGGGCATCTTCTTCTTCTTCAGGAGTGTAGCTCTCATCGAGGATCTTCCGCTGGAAGGAAAAACATTCGACGGTCCAGACGCTTTCTACTTTGAAGCTGAAAGATGTTACACTCAGAACGCCATGAATTGCTGGATTGCTGCCTGCATTTACGTATTAACATTCTTATTCTCTGGTCATCAGTTTTATGTCAATTCAAGAACGTCACTCAGTGTTTAAATTAAGATTTTTTAGGTTTATTGTTATATCACTCTCGAGATTTGCGGTGAATGCCGTCATCTAACGTTCGATGAGAAGATGAGGGAGTTAAAACAGAAAATGTTATTGTCAACAAGTTAAATTCATTTGACTCATCTTCACGCGTTCGATGATGGCGTTGAGTGAGTCGATTTTATTGTGTATAAATGACACTGAATGAGAAAGATAATTATGATTTGTAAAATATTTAAATTCCCATGCCCTGCATCGTAAGTCTCACCTCAACTGCAATTCCGTTAGAAAAATGTTCAATTAAATTGGGAAAAATGGAGACATTCCATACACAACTCGTGGTTAATTCGTCTAATGTTCTTCTTTTGTATTGTTAAGTGATTGTTCTGAAATGTTACCGAAATTATTGAGCGGATTTGTGTAATCAGAAATGGAAGTCTAGATAAATATCATGAAAACCTGTATATTGATAAATATAGTCCATATTATATTATATAAATTAATTATTTTCATCACCTTAAAAATCCCTGTTATAATTACAAAAGCATTTAAAACAAAATTAATTCATGAAATTTAATTAAAATTTCATTAATTTTTTGCGTTACTTTTGAAATTTATTAAAAAATACAGCAAAATATCACGTGAAAAAGCTCAAAACTGTCCACACATGAAAAATATCAAGAGAATTTGAAATACCAAAAAAATTAAAATCCATTAATTTTTAAAATCAAATCTTTGTCAAAAATAACGGAAAAATTTAAAAAATTAATAGAATTCTGCTAAATTCTTCAAACACTTCAATAAAAAAATTCTATAAAATCTCAATTTGAATATCCCTCGCTTATTCGTCCTATCGCCACATGAAAATTCCCCAGATGTTCCACAGGAAACGTTGTCGACGTAAACTGTCGGAGTTTCCCGTCACTGCCGGTAAGTATTCTTTAGAATTTATTTCTCCAATACATATTAGCATCGCTGGTATTTGCATTCATAACAAACAATAGAACCTCTCAATAATGCAATTCCATAACAACAGGTAAAAAAAATCCCTCGAACAACAGCACTGCAATTAGACTCTGTGGGAGGTTTTCAGTTTTGCAAGCATTCGAAGCCATTCATCATTCTCCAACCATCACAAATAATTTTTGTTATTATCCCAGGTGATCCCAATAATTAGTATGACGCAAGATTGATCCTCATGTCAAAATGGCTAGTGAACTTGCTGAGGGTATTTTGCAGTATGTAGATAAAAATGGGGAAGTCAACTCGCTGGATTTAGTTAATGTCTTCGAGGAGGATCATCAGAAGATCATTGGAGCTATCAAGAGCCTCCAGACACTCGATAATGTAAGGAAAATATTTTATTATTCATAAAATTAAAGACACTGTTTTTTTATTTCCGAAAGAATGACATAAACTTGGTTAAAAAAATATTTATATGCAATTTATAAATAAATTTATGAGTTGAAGAAGAGTATTTTTCATGGAAAACTAAATTTTAATTCAAATTCAACGTTTAGATTCTAGGAAAACGCATGAGGAGTTTTTTTGGTATTTTAAAATTCAAAATAAACGAATGCAAAATCATTCCTACATCCAGAATAGAGGAATAAAAACTCATCAATGAAAAATACTGATGGATACACTATTTTTAAACATTTTGATTCATCTACTTATTTATTTATTTCCTATTATATTGAAGTTTTAATTTAATTTATATTTGATTAACAATCATCAACCCAAACTGAATAAGCTATTCTGATTTTTCAAAATGTAAAAACTAAATATTTTTGTTTTCTCACTCAAATTTATTTTCACCTTGTCGTCAGGTCATCGATGTTGAGCAAGTGAGCCAGAAGAGATGGGAGCCAACACCCGAAGGAGAACACGTAATAGAGCATGGGAGTCACGAGGCAGCAGTTTACAAAGCTGTCCCAGAAGCTGGAATCCCCCAAAGTGAAATCATGAAATCAGTGCCATACGCCAAAGTCGGATTCTCCAAGGCTATAGTGGCTGGTTGGATAAAGCTAGACAAAAGCACTGGCAAGCCCACGGTGACCAGGAATGTCTCGTCCATTGAAGACACCACGCAGATGCAGCTGAAGAGCATCGAGAGCCTCCCAGACAACATGAAGGCTGAATACAAAAAGAGAAAACTCCTGCAGGAGATCGTCATCAAAAGTGTGATCGTCAGGAAGGGGAGGAATTTCGTCACTAAGATTGAGAAACAGGAGGCGGATCTCACTGCTGATCTGTTGGTCAATAATTCGTGGAAGGAGAAGAAGTTCAAACCTTATAATTTTGATGCTTTGGGGGCTGCTCTTGATGTTGGACACCTTCATCCACTTTTGAAAGTCAGAACTGAGTTTAGGAAAATATTCTTGGAAATGGGGTACGTATTAAGCATAATTAACATTTTTATAAACTTGACATTTTCTCAAATTTTTAGTTATGCAGATATAAATTAACTAATAATAATACATTCAATAACACATTCATAATGCATAATCAACATTAAAAAAAATGTTTTTGGTTTAGTGATTAAAAAGAAATCGATGAAAACTTGAATTTATGTAATTTAACATCGATTTTTGGAAAGAACGTCATCAGACAATTTTCCTTAGAATCTCATCATCATAATGAATCAATGATAATTAATGAATTATTAGAAAAACAATGAGAATCGATAACAATTGTTTAAATAATTCTCGGTTATAATTTAATTAATAATAATGCACTCAATAATACATTCATAATGCATAATCAACATTTAAAAAAATATTTTTGATTTAGTGATTAAAAAGAAATCAATGAAAACTTATGAATTTATGTAATTTACAATCGATTTTTGGAAAGAACGTCATCAGACAATTTTCCTTAGAATCTCATCATCATAATAAATCAATGATAATTAATAAATTATTACATAAACAATGAAAATAGATACTAATTTTTTAAATAATTCTCCCAGTTTCACAGAGATGCCAACAAATAATTTCGTTGAATCCTCATTCTGGAATTTCGACGCTCTCTTCCAACCCCAGCAGCACCCAGCACGCGACGCCCACGACACATTCTTCATCTCAGACCCAAAATTCACAACAGAATTCCCCCAGGAGTACCTCCAGAAGGTGAAGGAGGTTCACAGCAACGGTGGCTACGGCTCCGAAGGGTATCGTTACTCCTGGAAGATAGAGGAAGCTCAGAAGAACCTCCTGAGGACCCACACGACAGCTGTTTCAGCGAGAATGTTGTATAATCTCATGCAGAACGGGGAGTTCAAGCCTGTGAGGTACTTCAGCATTGACAGGGTCTTCAGGAACGAGACTCTCGACGCAACTCATCTCGCTGAGTTCCACCAGGTCGAGGGGGTCGTCGCTGACTACAATCTGACCCTGGGGGACCTCATCGGGACTCTTTACGAGTTCTTCAAGAAATTGGGGATTGACAAATTGGAGTTTAAGCCCGCTTATAATCCTTATACTGAACCCAGCATGGAGATTTTCTGCTTCCACGAGGGCCTGGGGAAGTGGATTGAGATTGGAAACAGTGGAGTCTTCAGACCTGAGATGCTGTTGCCTATGGGATTGCCGAAGAATGTTAATGTCATTGCTTGGGGATTGTCTCTTGAAAGGTGAGGAATCTACGAGATTCTTTTTAGCAATTATGAGTCTTTAAAACATTTTTAAATTGAAAAATGCCGGATACGATTCGTGAAAATTTTTATCAAGTGATAGCTCTACTGGAATGTCAAAGAATTTCGTGGAAAAATCCATGGAAATTGGGACTTTCAGCTGAGTTATTCGATGGAAATAAATAGAAATTATGAGAATTCAAATAACTGTTCTCAAATTTTCAATATATTGAGAATTCAGCCTATTTTGATACTAAATTTTCATATTTATTAAGAAAAATTTGACTGATATTCCTGATACAATTCTTGAAAATTTTTATTAAGTGATTGTTCCACTGGAATTTCAAAGAATTTCATCAAAAGAGTAATGGAACTTGGGAATTTCAGTTCAATTATTCGATGAAATTGAATATAAATTGGGAAAAATCAAATAAATGTTTTCAAATTTACAATAAATTAAGAATTCAGCTCATTTATTGAAATATCCATGTTTATGTATTAATTCTGATTGAAAATTCAAAGTCATTCTTGTCTTGCTGTGGCTAAAAAAATTAGAATTTCATTCATTTTTCCCAAAATCCAATATAATGTCCCTTTTTTAAGAATGACTAGTCAAATGGCAATGGAATTGAATTTTTTCCAACAATCGTGAGATTTCTAGTAATTAAGTTTACTTGTTACCAATTTTTTAATTCGTTAATTACATCTTCCAGACCTACAATGATTAAATATAAACTGAACAACATTCGTGATCTTGTTGGGCCCAAGGTCGACCTGCAAATGGTCTACACCAATCCCATATGTCGCCTAGAGAAGTAAATATCACTTAATATTACTGGAGGTATTTAAATCCCAATGTTTTCTCTTGCATTCACTCTTTTCCAAGCTGAATCATTCATTTCCATTCGTCATGAGCTGATTATACGTGATTTTCGTTCCAGAGTCGCAGGCAATTCTCAAATGAGCGTGAGGGAATCCCAAGAGGATGAGACAACACATAGTTTTGGAAATAACACATGGAGAAAATGCGAAAAACTAGAAAAACAGAACTTTGTGATCTTCTGCGACCCAAAGCATCCCATTCTCTGGCTCGAGGCCCTCATAAAGTTCACGAAAAACTGCCTCAAAACGACTCTAACGACTCATCTTCATTCATCAGCCCAGAAAGTTCCTCTTGAACTCGAGAACTTCTGCTCGGATTTCAAAAATTCCCAGAAGTTCGCGGATTTGACAGTGACTTTCATCTGGAAATCTGTGGGAGTGGATCCAGTCCTGAAATTCGATGGAAATCGAGAGATCTTTGGTCAAGTCAACATTGCACGGTATTTCAACCGATTAATAGAACAAATCAATCCGAGTTTACTCAGATACGAGAGCAAGGGGCCACTTTACGCTAATAAAATCGATCGGGCTCTCGAGAAAATTCACAATGCCCTGCATAATTCTAAGGAATTACATTACCCTGAGACATCGAAGTCACGGTACATCTTCGAGGAATTATCAATTGTTGATTTGATATTGGAGGGACGGAGATAGGAATTTGATGGAGGAATGCGAAAAGTTGTAATTTTGTATTGAAGATGATTACATTTTTTGACAGATGCAGAACGAGTTTGTGATCATTATTCCCTATTTAATTTCAATTTGACGCATCAATTAATGAATTAATGAGATCATTAATGAATGCAGTTGATGTGCAATGATGGCTTGATTTTATAAATCAATTGCTTGCAATTCTTTGTTCTTGTTTTTAGAAGTGTAGTCATTTATCCAATTCTCTTCTCAATCAATTAAAGTGTTATCACAGCTGGCACTGCAGGAGGTGAGTACCGTTACCCATCTGTTTACACGCTGCATGAATAAAAATTCGGAGCAGAAAGATATTTCGATACATAAATTAATAATCAACATTCTTAAATCATTAGAATTCTTAAATCACTGACTATTAGATCTTCAAAAGCTTAAAACAAATTTTAATTGATCAACAGAATGATCAAATGAACTGCTTCAACAATCTCGTAATTTTTTCCTATCATTGAAAAAACATTCTTCTTGAGAGATTCGTTTTGTTATTTTCGTTTTTTGCTCCACAAAATTATTCTCAATTTATTATTCTTAATTAGTTATTCTTAACTCTATATCGTCTGTTTTTGTAAATGGAAAAAACTAAACACCTAAAAATTTATTTTAAAAAAATCAATCACATCTACTCCAATCGTCTTCAACTAAATATTTCTTCCAACATAAATTTCTTCAATGATCTCTCATTTTTTTACTTTCATACAAAAAATTGCAATTTTTTCCCTGGAGACATTCCGTCCTTTTTTCGTTTTTTTCTCCACAAAATAATTTTTAATTTTAGCTCTATAGCCTCTTTTTTTTTAATTGCAAATTAACAGAATTCTGTAATTCTCACAAATTAGATCTCCACAAGCTCAAGAAAAGACCGAACACCTAAAAATTTACTTTAAAAAAATCAACAATATAAATTCTTTCAATGATCTCTCATTTTTTTCCTATCATTAAAAAATTACAATGTTTTCCTCTCGAGACATTCCGTCCTTTCTTCGTTTTTACCTTCACAAAATAATTTTTAATTTTAACTCTATAGCCTCTTTTTTTTTAATTGCAAATTAACAGAATTCTGTAATTCTCACAAATTAGATCTCCACAAGCAAGAAAAGACCAAACACCTAAAAATTTATCTTAAAAAAATCAACAATATAAATTCTTTCAATGATCTCCAATTTTTTTCCTATCATTAAAAAATTACAATTTTTTTCCTCTCGAGACATTCCTCTTTTTTTCATTTTTTTCTCCACAAAATAATTCCTCATTTCAAATCTGTGTTAGTTCCCGTCTGTGCACCCATCGCGACTGTGGCTCAGTCTAATAAACCCCCCGTTTGTGTTATTTGTGTGCTGTGTATTCAGTTGTATTGAGTGTTGTTGGAGCGAGTACAGTGCACTCTCGTCGAAATAATCCACACCTGCTGTCTCAAAACCATTTTCCCAGTGTTTCATTACCAATTGCCCACCCCAGAACATCAAAAACCTCATCAGCCCAGCATCAACAATACAAACCTCGGAAAACCCCGTGAAAAGCTCTCTCGAAAAATCGAAAAAACGTTCTAGAAACAAAAATAAATAAATAATCGAGTATCGGGCGACGACTGGTGGTGGCAGTGTGCTCTACACGATCAAAATGGCGGCGATCACTTCAGATTGGCGGTGAACGTTACCGAGAAAAGTCCACGAAATCAGTGTTTTATCGACAATTCCCCCAAAAAAGACAGATTTAAAAGAATCAATCCAGGAAAATCAGGGACAGTTTCTCATTATTCACCCGCGACACCTTCTCCCCCCATCAAGTTTGCTATTTCATTGACACGAGGCCCAACGGAAGAACATTCGGAGGCGTGTTGGAACACGTAAAAATCACCGGATCACTTCGGTGATTTTTTAAACACAAAATCAACGTAAACAATCGATAAATCATCGAGTATTGTGCCTCAGCAATGCTCGTTACTCACCTCAATACAGTTCCTGACAGTTGTATCGGGATTATCGTGAAGAGAGAAGACAAAGGGACGTCATCAGTGGTGAGATACGTCGCCAATAACGCTTGTGACCCTCAAGTGAGGAGTCATTAGGTAAGTTTCGCCATTCTTTCGTCATTTTCCCCCATAAATCGTCCCCAAATTCGCAATCACCATTTTTTTCCTCGTCCTGGGGTGTCGTCTGGGGGTTCTGGGACAGTCTGGGGGTCATCGAGACTCCCAAGAAGGGCCTGAGAACGTCGTGAAGACCCCCCAACCGCCATTCTTATTAACAAAGCCAAAAAAAACTGGCGAAAAAGCACATTCAACTCGACAATATCAACAGTTTTTTCTGCCAGCTAAATTTTTGGGCATTTTTATGTACATTCTGGAATATTCTCCACCATCAGCATCATTCGTCACCTTTCTCAAATTCTTGGAAATGATTTTTTATCTCTGAGTCTAACCTATACGAATGACTGTGCAGTTTGAGGTGTCTCGCAAAATCTGTTTCGGTTCGTTGCTTTGCGAGAGTGAGAGAGGTTGGATTACGGTGTATCCTTGACCCGATACGAAATATTTCGATGTACGATAAGGCCACATGGGTGACCAGGGGCAATCGTTGAGAAATCAGTGAAAAAAATGAAAACTTTTGATTTTGTTGACGTTTTGAAATGGCGACTCTGTAGGTCCTGGTGATCATCAGTTTTTCTTGGTCTCTCGGGGTGACATTGAACACTGTTATGGGTCGGTGAATTTTCACGTCAATATGTGTCACCTATTGCGCGAGATAATGCCATCAATTTTTATCCACTCCTCGTAATTTATCTGTTTAAAAATCGAGATAAAAGATTTGTAACGGAATTTCCGAGGCATTTGGCGTGATTTGGCCTTATTTGGGAGCTTTTTATTCACCGCTTGAGCTATAATCATCATAGATGTGCTGAAAAAAATTAATAATGACGATTGACGAAAATGATTTTGATTTCTCTTTCATTTTCATTTTTCGACAGTGAAAATGACATGAAAAATATTATGAAAATGATCTTCTTAAATCATTTATATTGATTTGAATAAATGAAAATTTATTCGCACTCAAATAAAATTGCCCAATTTCACTCGACCAATCTTGAAATATCGACGATTAAAAAACTACGACATAGTCATTCATTCCGTTTATTCTCCCATTTAACTGGCCTATTTTACCGATTTAGACTTTCATTATTTTTCTCTCACTTCCATTCACTTTACTCATCCATTCTTCCCTTGTTTATTCAATTTTTCCTCTCATTCATTTCTATAAATCATTTACATAAACTCGTTCCCCCTTGAGCTATAATCATCATAGATGTGCTAAAAAAATTAATAATGACGATTGAAGAAAATGATTTTGATTTCCCATGATTCCAATGATTTTCATTTTCATTTTTCGACAGTAAAAATGACATGAAAAAGATTATGAAAATGATCTACTCAAATCATTTATATTGATGTGAATAAATCAATATTCATTCGCACTCAAAAAAAATTGCCCAATGTCACTCGACCAATCTTGAAATATCGACGATTAAAAACTACGACATAGTCATTCATTCCATTTATTCTCCCATTTCACTGGTTCATTTTACCGATTTAGACTTTCATTAGTTTTCTTGCACTTCCATTCACTTTACTCATCCATTCTTCCCTTGTCTATTCAATTTTTCCTCTCATTCATTTATATAAATCATTTACATAAACTTGTTCATTAAATTCACTGAAGTACATGATCATCTAGTTTATCTTACTAACAATCCGTTTAAAACTCTTTTAATGACCTCAATCATGGTCAAATCCTTCGAAAGGGATTCACAACTCTGATTTTATTCCAGACCCCTTGTAGACGAACACAACCCCCAAAAATGAAGATCGATCGTAGCAGATTGAAGAAGTGTACTTCTGAAGTGGTGAGTATTCCCGTAGAGCCCATCATCACCACCACCAACGGTCAATAATAAATTTTCATTGAATTCTCCTAACAGCCAGCAGAATGCCAGGCCCTAATAAGTAAGCTACGATCCTGCTCCCATACCGAGCTCCTCGAGGAACTAAAGCAGATAGACGCCTGGACCTTCGGCAAGTGTGAGCTATTCCACTGGATCGATGTCCTCGATCTCAGCGACAGCATCCTCGAGGAGGCATGCGCCAGGAGCCCAGACAATCCCTGGGAGCTGGCATGTGATCTGCCCCAGAACAGAGAAGCAAAGGAGCTTCTTCTCTGGGTCCTCCACTTCACAACCCTCTTGATAGAGCACTCGTTCTCACGTCACCTGTACAACAGCATGGAGCACCTGGTGACACTGCTCTCCAGCTGTGACATGCACGTGGTACTGGGTGTCCTAAACCTCCTCTACATGTTCAGCAAGCGAAGTAACTTCATCACACGTCTGATAAACGACAAACGCCAGGCACTGCTCAGCAGATTGAATCACCTGGCTGAATCCTGGGGGGGAAAGGAGAATGGATTTGGCCTGGCTGATTGCTGCAAGGAGCACCCTGACAAGGCATTCCCAGTGAGTGCGACAACCCTCCACTTCGAGTACTACGCTGAAAATCCAACGACATCTACAGAGGCACCAGCCACCCCCAGCTCACGTAAAACCAGTCAGACTAATCTCGTCACTTACATTCACATCGAGAACGTGGATAAACTTGGAAAAACACCAGCCCAGATAATGAACGATCTTCTGAAGTACTACAACGTCCCTCAGGATCGACAAATGGCACTGTTCACCCACATAAGACTTGCCCACAGCTTCTCAGACTATCGAAGACGTCTGCAGTGCGTTCAGGCTCGTCTTCAAGCCCTCTCAGTCTTAGTTTATAGTCACGCCTTGCAGGAGAACGCCCACAGCCTCCTGCACGCAGGTCTCCTCGAGGAACTCGTCGAGCTCCTGGAGCTGCCACATCAGCACCTCGTGGAGATTCGAGCAGCTGCACTGAGGGCATTAACCAGCATAATTCATCTGGACAGAAACCCCCACTTCCCCAAGAAGCCAGGATCACGACTCAACATGATTATAGACGTCACTGGAGCGAGCTCTTACCACGGATTTCTTCCTGTTCTCGTCAGGACCTGCATCACAACCCTCACGTCTCCACAGCCTGACGGACAGCCCTTCCCCCTGCCCCTGGCAACAGCCCTCTTCAGCTTTCTATACCATCTGGCGAGTTATGAGGCTGGGGGGGAGGCCCTCGTCTCCTGTGGCATGATGGAGATCCTTCTCAAAGTCATCAACTGGCCTGGCAGTGAACTGGAACACATCACCTTCGTAACTCGTGCTGTTCGCGTCATTGATCTCATCACTAATATCGATATGCAGGGTTTTCAGGCACACGGGGGTCTCAGTAGCTTCATCAATCGACTGGACATGGAGGTCAACGTCTGCAGGAAGGAGCAGCCCTTCGAGATCGAGCCACACATGTACAATCAGGACGTGGTGCCCATGAAGGAGAAGTCCGAGGGGCCCGAGGAGGCTGGACCCTCTGGGATCACCAGTGAGACCATCGACGAACGCGAGGAGACCTCCAACCCCATGGAGTTCTCAGAGGACGAGAATACAAACTCCAAATTCGAGGGCAAAGTCGAGCAGAGGACTGAGGGCTCTGGGAGGTCAGGGAAGACTTGTCTCCCTCAGAGGGCTGCTCTCCTCAAATCCATGTTAAATTTCCTGAAGAAAGCTATTCAAGATCCTGCCTTCTCCGACAGCATCAGACACGTCATGGAGGGGGAGCTTCCCTCCTCTCTGAAACACATCATCAGCAATTCGGAGTATTATGGACCCTCGCTGTTCCTCTTGGCGATCGACGTCGTGACGGTCTATGTGTTTCAAGAGCCCTCGTTGCTGTCATCCCTCCAGGATAATGGGCTTACTGACGTCGTTCTCCATGCATTATTGATCAAGGATGTGCCTGCCACTCGAGAGGTGTTGGGATCACTTCCAAATGTCTACAGTGCACTCTGCCTCAATCAAAGGGGCCTTGAGTCCTTCGTCAAGAGACGTCCCTTCGAGAAACTCTTCAAGGTCCTCATCTCCCCGACGTATTTGTCAGCCATGAGGAGACGCAGGTCTGCTGATCCGCTTGGTGATACTGCCTCCAACCTGGGTAATGCCATGGACGAACTTATGAGGCATCAGCCCAGTCTGAAAGTCGATGCCACTGCTGCTATTATTAAGCTACTCGAGGAGCTCTGTGTCCTTGGGTGTGATCCCAGGTACGTCTGCTACAGGGCTGCCAATAAATCCGAGAGTTCTCCATCGAGCTCCAGCTCTGGGAGTCGACAGTCGTCAGGGCAGTCTGTGGGGGTTGGCGTTGGGGACAATGGTACTGGCGGTGGTGGAGGAGGTGGCAGCAGCAGTGATGAAGAGGAGGAGGACGAGGAGGAAGCCAGCACCAGCTCTCATCCCCAGAGGGACGAGCAGCCTTCACCCTCTCCAGTGCAGCCTGGACCACCTCCTCAACAGCCCAGAGAGAAAACCCCTATTGCACTTGTCGATTACATTCACAATGTCATGAAGTTTGTGGATGCTATACTGAGTAATAATTCCACTGACGATCACTGTCGTGAGTTTGTTGCGCAGAAGGGGCTTGTTCCACTCCTGTCGATCCTCGGGCTGCCTAATCTACCTGTGGATTACCCAGTGGCACAAGCTGCTCAGTCAGTAGCATCGGTTTGCAAGAGCATCCTCAATCTTGCTCATGAGCCACAGGTCTTGAAGACTGGGCTGTCGCAGTTGAACGAAGTTCTTAATCTTCTGAAACCACTTCACAGTCACATGGAGTCACCAGGGGGCTCGGTCCTCCTCCATGAATTGGCTTCAGCCCCTAATCTGGAGACAGCATTCACCAGTGACACTGCAACCCCCCTTCTTCATGCTATGAACGCAGCCCACGGATACGTCGTCATGTTCGTTCATGTTTGCAGAACGAGTCAGACAGAAATCAGAAATTTGTCCATGAATCATTGGGGCTCCGAGCTGGGACTGTCTGTTCTCCAAGGATTGTCAGAACTCTACATGTCACTTGTCTGGGAGAGCACTCTTCTGCTGGCTCTCTGCAGCGAGGGCAGTATTCCCCCAGGCTGTGACTTCGGTAAAGAAGACATGGATAAGTTAATTCCAACTGAATTGAGGGACGCTGATGCCTCAACCTGGCCGAGTACCTCAGTTGGGGATATGGGGAGCAATGGTATGACGACTGCCATGGAAGCACTTAGCACAGATCCACCTCCAGTGTCAATGGAGATTGACGATAAACCCAGCACCAGTGCCACTGGACGAGCATCTCCAAGTGCCCATCAACTCAAATACATCAAACCTCTGCTGGGGGCTTCGTCCAGACTGGGAAGAGCACTGGCCGAACTGTTTGGACTTTTAGTTAAACTCTGCATGGGCTCACCCATCAGACAGAGACGAGGACAGCAGCTCCCCATGATGCCAACTATTCCCAACTCAGCAGCACGTGGTGTCGCCTGTGCACTGAATGTCCTTCTCACCAGGGGTCTCTCCTGGGACAAATTGCCACCCTCACCGATTCCAAAGTTCAAGCTCACTTTCCTCATTTGCTCGGTGGGCTTCACATCCCCAATGCTATTCGACGAAAAACGACATCCCTATCACCTGATGCTCCAGAAATTTGTGCAGCTACAGGGGCAGAATGCTTTCTTCTCCACTTTTCGTTGGGCACTCTCTGGTGGGGGACAGTTCTCGCTGTCAGAGGGTTTGGAACATCCTGATCTCCCCGATGGCACTGGAGAATTTCTTGACGCCTGGCTGATGCTCTTGGAGAAAATGGTGAACCCCAAAGCCATTCTGGACTCCCCTCATGTTGGATTGTCCAAGTGTACAGGGGTTTACAATCCTTACAAGTCCTTTGATCCTAAAAAGTACCTTCAGGATGTCCACAAGAAGGCGTTTGAAGCTGTCATGCTCATGTGGGGAAAGAAACCCCTCAAGAATTACGGTGCTAGGATGACTGAATCGATCCTCTCGATCTTGAGGCACATTCTGAGGGGAGAGAAAATCATAAAAGAGAGGACTGAGGAGGAGGAGGGTGGGGAGGAGACCTCAGGGACGAGCACAAGTGGCACAGCAACCACTAGAACAACTACTGCTGAGAGACGAGAGGATCCTGAGGCTGACGTCAACCCTGAGCACTTAAGACAACTGATGGACATGGGATTCAGCAGAGCCAACTGTGTAGAGGCACTCCTGCATAATCTGACGGTTGAACAAGCCACTGACTACCTCCTCTCGCATCCAGCCACTCTTCGCAGGCCAGAGGCACCTGCAGGCGACAGCTCCTCAGGTCCTGTGATGGATCTGGACCTCGTTGACGACCAGATTATGTACGCCATAGCCATGAGCCTTGGGGATAATGATTCCAAGAAGGCGCCTGGCCCTGAGGAGCCAGTCAGGGAGACCCCAATTACCCAGACAATCGACGATTTTACATCAACTGCTCTCGAACAGTGTCTCAATCTCCTGGACCTCATGCCTGATACTGTCTACAGAGTCTGTGATCTTCTCGTTACGATAACCAAACGAAATGGGGATGAATGGAGGGACAAGATGCTCAGACATCTTATCAAGGAGATCGACGAGCTAATGGACCATTTGATTGGAATTGCACTGTCTCAGGACGATGATGCTGGCAGCAAACTCGTGGAGTGCGAGGAGGCCACTAAAATCGCTGGAAGGATCTACCTCTACACTCTCTTCTTCGAGGGGACCTTCCAGGAGATGAGGGTGCCCTGTGCACAGATCGTCAACGAGTGTGGAATCCTGGACCAGTTGGTTCGTCTTCTTGTCATCAGTGAGGGCCCACTCACAGCGATGAAGAATCAAGCAGCTAAAGAGAGCAAGGAGGGACAGCCAGTGGTCGCTAAGACTCCCAAGTGGCTCGCCCCACTGCTCCTCCTCATCGATCGTCTCGAGAAAGTCGCTGTTCTCACTCAACGAAAGCAACTCATGCACAAGGTCACCAACAGGGTCTGGAAGTGGTTCGATTTGAGCACTGGAAAGTGGACCCCTTACTCCTCCGTCAATAATCGATTGATCAATGATGCTTACTGGGCTGGGGAGTCCAGTGTGAGAATCAACTACTCCAGGAGGAGATATTTAATAACATTCTCCTGCATGACACAGGTCAATGAGGACAGTGAGAGCAGGAGACCCATCACCATGGGCTTCAAATTTCAAAATACTGGGACTGAGGACTCGAGCTCCAGTTCTGACTCCAATATGGACACTGAGGAGACCACGACTGAGGAGAAACGAAATACAGTGATCGAGGGATTGGATCCCAGCATTGCTCCGAGTATCGTCAGGGCGTGCGTCAAACTCCTGGCGATTCCTGTGGACAGGGACACCCTTCATGCTTTGATGAAAGTCTGCTTACGACTGACTCGCGATTACAAGAATGCTGAGGTGTTCGCCAGAGAGGGAGGGGTTCAACTCCTTCTCGACATGACTCAGGCCAACAGTTTCATCGGTTGCATCGGCCTCAGCACTCTGCTCATTCGTCACACTTTGGAGGAGCCCAGAACCCTTCGTCTAGCCATGGAGAAGGTCGTCAGGAGTCGAACCCAGGCCAACATCCCCCCAGCTTACAAGGAGATCCTCTTCATGACTAGGCAGATCAGCAGTGCTGTCTGCAGGAATCCCGAGGTCTATCGAGAGGTCTGCGAGAACATTCTCAGGGTTGACATAAGTGTCCTCAAGAGGGACGACGTCGACAATCGTTTGGTGGTAAAAGCACTGCCCCCAAATCACTCATCAGCTATGCCAATGGCTGAGGACGTGGCTGTCTCAGTCATTCACGATCTACTGGATGCCCTCATCAAACCAGCCCCTGTGTTCTCCGAGGACAACACCACGACCCCCACTGGCAGCCCCGAGAAGAAGACAACGACATCGACATCAACGACTCTTGGAGTCTCGTCGTCAACGTCCCGACGTAATGAGGGGGTTCGAGGGAGTGCAGCCACAGCAAATGGCCCCCTGGACGACGACGATCAGATTGTTCCCCTCAAGATGTCCACTGACTACCTGAACAACGGAAAGATCGAGCCTGAGGAGGCGAAGAAACCCCTTCTCCCTAAATCAGCCATTCTCAAGATGTTGGCAGAGGCTGTGAGGTCCTATGGAGCTGTTGCTAATCTCATCACTGAACACAGTTATCGGGCTGGCCAGAGTGAAATGGTCCCCGAGGACGTTTCAGCCCTGGCCTTTCTCCTCGATAAACTGCTGCCAGTCTCCCCTGAGAACTCTGGTGACAAGCAGTGCAGCAGCACGGCCAGGATGCTAATCGCTGCCATTGCCTCCTGCAATCACTCCCCAGACGCTCAATCCAGTCTGGTTACCGAGGTGAAGGCTGCTTTAACCAGGACACTGGCGCAGCCTGAGAGCTCGGAGAAGCATGCACAGTTGCAACTGCTGATTGGACTCATCTCCACGATGATCGACAGTTGTCCACCCACGTCGCACTCCCAGCTGCGAGCTCCGTTGAAGGTTCATCAGTACAATAACGTTAATTACATCGTGAGGATCATGCTGAGGAAGGGAATCATCACTGATCTCGCCAAGATTCCACACAGTCTTGATCTCTCCAGCCCCAACATGGCTGGCACCATCAATGCTGCGCTTAAACCACTGGAGACCCTCTCCAGGATTATCAATCAGCCCATGCCAGGGACTGTCAACAATAAATTTCCTAAACCGAAGAACAGGACTATTCAGGAGGAGCCCATTGGCGATCAGACTGGAACCACCACTTCGGAGGCTACTCATGCTGTGGGGGAGGAGGCTAATGAGGATGCTGAGAACACTGAGCATGACATATCGCTGAATGCTGAGAGCCTGGAGCCAACTTCTGAGAGCCAGGTGCATGAGGAAGGGGATGAAGCTGCTCTCGAGGATATAATGGATCAGTTGCTTGAGAGGTATGACGATTTTCTTGGGGGGGATGGGGATGCTTGGGGGGGGGGGG